TATTTCTTATGGTTGGATTGTGTGGAATGATTGTACGGCATATCGTTTAATCCTATTAAGATCATTTTAATTTAATTAATTTTTAAGGTTGATAAAATGTTATTGTTCAGGGAAACTTCAAGGATTATTATCTTATCGAATTGGTTGGATTAGTCTTTTTCCACAAATGATCGGTATATGTGTTTACATAGTGCCTCAATTTACAAAACAGATAAAAAATCAGTTCTAAGTTGCATATAATTGTGATAAATATTAAATGTAGTCAGTGGCTTTTGCTATTACGCGACTCGTTTCCACTTCTTATTTGTTATTACAAACCTGTTTGTGAGTTTTTCATGATCATTATCGATAATTATCGAACTGTTCTTATTGTTGCTACTATCTAATTCTTATGGACTCCTTTTTCACGTACATAAATACTAATACTTAATTATCTTCATTTAGATATACCCCTGATTGTCTTGCGTAATTCTAGTCACTTTGTGTAAGTGTGTGTCTATTAAACGGTTGTATAATTGCTAATGGCTGTCAATTCATTTAATTTTTGTGGTAAGCATTTAAACAAATATAATGAAGATATTATTCATCAATCACTCTCTTTTTGTTTTACTACATTTATTCCATATTTTAGGCTTGAACATGTACTTCTGAAAACCTTGATCATAAGCAAGCTAGACAAGAATGAAATGATATTAATTAAAATGAGTTCGATGCGTAGTTATCTTACGAAATTCTTAAGAAGGATACCAGTTCATAAGCAGTAAGACAGTTAAGAATTTTCTTAGAGAATCTAAACATCACATTTGTAATTTTCTTAAACCTACTGTATCAAAAGCACTATTCTATAGACAATCGAAATTCACACGTAAAATCTCTGCCTGGTTCTAGGTATGTTGAATTCTCCAGACCATATAACTATAAAGTTACTAGTTATTGTCTTAGGACTGTACAACTGAGTCGTAAATAAAAATGTTAGTAATGTTTTCAACTTCATTTCCAAACTAGAGGAAGTGATTATTAGGATGAAACATGATTTCTCTAGATTTCTTCTCGTTTTCACCAATTTAACACTAGTTGAGATAGTCGAGTTCACATATACACAAATATCAGAAAAACAAATCAATATTGTATTTGCTGGAGTAGTCTGAAAGAATTCTAAGATGTATACTATTTATTCGTCTTATCGTTAATACTATTTATTATTAACAAATTGATGGAACAGCTATCGGTTAACCTCAAACTTTTCATGATTTCTTTACAGAAATTATTGGTAATTAGTGTAAATTATGTATAAGTCCATATCGAACTCAAATAACGGTATATTCATTGTTTCTTTGTTTATCTATTGAATCCAGTAAAATGTAAAAGTTGGTGACTAGTTATTGTTTAGTCTTTTAGTTTGTATTACTTTTTATAGTATTCATGAAATAGTCGTTTTACAGTCTATTTTTAATACTTATCTTCTCTATTGTGAGCTTTAGTTGGATTGAATCCATGTCTTTTATCGATTGGTAATAAACAGTCAATAACTTATATATAGGTTACTCAATGTTGAACCCAAAATGTCTTAGTTATATATCTATTGAGATTTATAAATTGTGACACACTGTGGTTTTGTATAATCATGTAAATTATGAATCAGATTAATGTGAGCTCTCATGAATACTTATCCAACGTTTTCTATTCCAACTGATGGTTTGAGAAAATGGGAATTCCTGTATTACATATATGGTGTAAACAATGCATATAGAGTTCAAAGGATGGTTGTTAGTAGCATGAAAGATAACATAAATCACTTAAATAAGCTTTATAGTTAATAAAACACATTGAACGTTATTCTATATATATAAATTCACCCCATTACACAAGCAAGTGGCTACCAGGACTCAGTAGCTGAGTGGATAACGTGATGGCATTTGAAGCGAATGGTACTGTGTTCAAGTCCCAGAGTGAACATCAACTCTGAGATGCGGGTACGTCCAGCTGACGAGCCCCAAATAGGACGAAACGCACGTCCTGGATTCCACTGCTAGCCACTATACATCATTGCTTACAACATATATGCTTTCCCACATTTCGTCGGATATGAACAAGTATGAAATAACATTATAGGACTTCTTACTTTCGGATTGACTAACCTTTTGTTTTAATGCATCCAACTGAATGTACCAGAAAGAAATGGATTATGACTCATTTGTTTGGGTTTAGCCGTGCCACACTATGGTTGCATACTCCTCAAGAATATCAAATTGTAAAGAAACAGTTTTTTTACATTTATGTTTATATACGAATGTATTAATGAGGACTACTTGTAACCTGACTTTGTCGTAGTTCTCAAGCTACATTATTCTATTCTAAAAGGATAGCTAGTGAAGCTATTATCATATTCGTACATGGACTTTTACTTTAGATATTCTATCACCCAATCAATAAGGTATAATTTGAACTAATAAGCACATTTCCATGTGGGTTTTCAATTGAATTCTGATTTGTGAAAACTACTGTGATCAGGTAAGTTGCAGCTAACTGGTGGACGGACAAAGTAGGCTAGAATATACCTCTGAAAGAATGAACTTGAACTTTCCAGGAAAACAATTAAATTATCACTATCGTAGCCGGTTTGAGACTGGAACGTGGTTTTTCCCTTTTCTGACGAAATATCTGATAGTACTACATTTCATCAGCACCATAGTAGAGAAGAGTTAACATTCTTCAACAAGAAAGCTTTTACTGTCTCTTGAAGACTTCAAAAGTTGAACCAACTATATCATGTTGATGTCCTTGGAAAGCATACTACAGAGTAACAAATTAAGACAGATAACAAGTTAGCGAATAACTAAATTCAACTCAGTATTTCTAAAATTTCGGTCATTGTTGACTCGTCTAAACGTAAGAACTACAATTACTAAACAAAAAAAGAGCATACTTTCAAGTTTTCTTAGCGAAAATCTTGATCAATGTTGATTTGAAATTTGATGGTTTCATTAATATTGATTTCAGCGAAATTTGTAGATTTTACTATATACCAATTATTGTAATTTCAGTGCATTGTTATTTTTCATGACTGATTTTAAAAAAAATTTCATTATATTTTAAATAGAGTAATTCTTTTTGTTATATCCGAGCGAAGTAACTTCTGAGACATATTAATTGACTAATATTATCTATACATTCTTATAGTATAATTATTCAATAATTAGATTATGCATATTTATATTCCTCTTATTATAAGCTTTATTTTGATCTGTAATTTATTATTATACGATTTACCATTCTTGAATTATTCCCCATCTGTTAATCACTACCTCCCTCATTCACAGCCACTTTTGACTAGATCTTGTACAAATGTTATTTTCTATTTTAAGGTACGTTATGGTTTTTATGATCGGTATATAAACCCCGTATGTTTGAAATAAATGATTTATATTACAGAAGTTGGTGTTGTGTTCTGAACTCAAGCAGACAGGTTAGGAGGACATAGGATCAATAAGGACGCTAGACTGCTCATACCGCTCGAAAGTCATTGGTTTGGCACAATGCTAAGTTTGTATAAGTCGTATTTTGATTGGTGGATAAATCACGTGATAAAAAGCCAGACGTAAACTCATAACACTTTTTCTAGATTTTTTGTGTGATATTTCTTATGTATTTATCTCAGTTGGGGTAATATTGATCATCGCATTATATTACATATTGATTAAAGTTGGACTTATTTACCTTTGGTTTCCAACCTAGTGGCCTAGCAGTTAAGTGCTCGCCGAGAAACTAACCTAAAACTTCTAGATTTAATCCTTAGATGGACGGAGAAAATTGGATTTTATACGCTTTATTGATTAGTAAATAGACAAGCAGTCCAAACCAAGAGCCTGAGGCTACAAGTGATGGAATTCAAATAATTTTGGAAATTCTACATACCTTATGGGTTTTTGTAAGGAATAAAAATTAGTTTACTTCAACTTTTAGTAGACTTTTCGCTATAAAAAACTATTTGTTTAATTGAATATCGGTTTGTGTTTTGGTTACACATTGGACCATAAATACTCCTATAAATGTTTCCTATTCGGTGTATGACAGCGGATTTCATAAGACAATAGGTAGCGGAATTCTAGTGGTAATACACCGATAAGCAAGAGACTTTATTGTTGTATATATTTCACTGAGTGGTGAAATATCAGATGGCTGATCCTGTACTGTGACTGCATAGAATTAATGTTGATAAAAAATAACATGATATATATACTTTTTGAATTATTTGTTTATTTAGATCACTTTACAATCTTTGTACCAAAATGAAGTCACATTATTTATTTAAACGTGCTTCCTAACTAGCTGGTAATATCGCATTTGGACACTCCTTGTAATTTTGGTGACCTTTTTTCTATGATTGCCGAATGAACTTTGTCTTATCGACCCTTCACGACTGGAACCGTAAATAAAGGTCCTTTCTACATTCATGTTTTTAAGGCAAAAGCCAGCTAGTATTGTAAGATATGTTCAGTGTGGTTAATATTTATTCGATCAGAAACTGAAGTCAGTGATCCAAAGCAAACAGTCTACATTGAAGAAAACAGAACTAATACAGCATGAGCCAAAGCCTAAGAAGATGACTGACAATCATATACGTTCAAAATTCATATTAGCGTTCGGGCAATTGAACAACTCTTTCATCATTACGTTATGAATTTCGCGAAAAAAAAAGCGGAAAGTCACTAATTTGATCCTGATTTTTCAAGGCCTTTCATGAAGGCCTACCAACAAATGTTCACTCAACATAATATAAGCTTACAATAAGTCATGGGTATTAATGATATGTATCTCTTTACTTTGGTCACTGAATGTAATATACAAATTTATTTTAAAGATAAGGATCATGTGTATGATATATGATCAAAATTCAAGTCTACTTAGTAATGAAATATCTTAATGTGACTTACCATTTGTCTAAATGTACATAGTGACATCCTTTTTAATATACAACTTTATATCCATAAGACAATCAATATTTTTTCGATCTCATTCTTTTGTCATATTACAGATCATTTTTTTGAACCATATGAAAGAGATCATTGAAAAGTCGTTAATTTCTCATTTTACTAAAGACTATTAATTTAGGTAACAGCTTGAAGACTAAAAAAAAGAAACAATAAAGCTAATTAATCTTGTAATAAATAGTATTTGATGGTACATCAAAAACATATTGAACTTCAATCCAATTTTCTAGAGTACGTCATAACATTCATACGTGATAGTTTAATACAACCTATTTCATCATCATTAGTAAAATAATTCCTTTCCCGAATGAATCCACATTTCTTTTTAAGTCCAACTGTCCATCTTCTTATTCGATGTTTTAATGCATAATTACATCCTAGTTGATGTGCATTTCTTCCTTGTGGGTAAATGAAATATCCTTTACATTCTGGACTACCAGAACAAGGCCAATGCATAGTTGTGTATGAACTTTTCAATGAAATCATTTTCATATCCTATAAGAATTTATACTATTTTCTTGAAGTATCTATAATTAGTTAGTTAATGATGAATTTAGCCTTAAAACGCACTTAATAACAATACACTTAACAACTTATTCCATAGGTGGACTTTTGAAAACCATTTTTTTTGCACTTTATTCAATATATGTAATAAGAATATTTTGTTGTTGTTTCCTTAAGAACATTGGTTGGATTACGGTGCAATTTATATTTATGAATTATTTTATATTTTACAATTAGACAATTACATACAATGATATACTTTTGTGCTCATATGATGCATTATTATGTGCCAGTTGGAAAGCTTGTGTGATTTAACTTCGTAAGTTGATGCGATGACTGGTCAGAGTATTAATTGAACGAATAAGAGATTAAGTAGTATAGTTTAGACATTTTGTCATTTGAGATTTCACTAACTATATCTTTGTTAAATAGTAGTTTCATAAATAAAAGTTTCTTTTCAACAGTTCATATTTCTGCATCTTAATTCATTGTGTATGTGTGCTTCCTCAAAAAGATTTACGTGTAGTTTACTTCAGTCAGTGTATTGTTCATGAACTCCAACTTTTTCCACTGAACAGATGTTATTTCCTTTCCTTCTATGACCTTTCATCAGAATTTTTTATAACAAATGGATGTTGAATAAAACAACCTCACCCTTTTGGAGGTCAATTTTATCGATTAGTTTAGCTTCATACTTGTATCTGTCTTCCCTTAAAGCCTCTGTCCAAATGTTATAATCATGTAAAAGCTATTTGTATGTAACATTTCTACTATTTGGTTTGTGTCCCTCCCAATTACAACTCCGTTTTCGCAATTTAATGGTATGATTAGCTATAATTTTCAGTTGCTTGAAGGTTTTGTGACCGTTTTTTGAAACACACTGATTGATAACACATCAAATGATATTTTACAAGTAATTCCAAACGGAGAGCATGTTTTCCAGTCTACTTGTTCAACATTATCTTTTAATGCAATCAAACTACAACTCGACTGAAGGAATATTTTGTCACAAAAAATTTTTAGAACCTTTCCTGGAATCGTTTTAAATCACTGTAATCCTTCTAAAATTATTTTCCTTGTGAATACGTTGGCTCATACTTTATTGTTCAGTCTAGGTGATTTATGCTACGACAATATGCTTTCAAGAAACTATTAAATTATTTGTATTTGCATTTCAGATTAAATTTCACAGAATCCTATTTCGAGTGCATTCGTTGGGAAGCTTTGATTGGCCCAAAATACTGAAAGTTTGTAATTTAAAAGTAGTAATATTAATCTGATGCAAATAAAATTAGCTTTAACATGTAAACTGTGTTTATACTTGACGTTTTGGCTCAATGCCTACGATATGGTTACGCGTGGTCCATATCACACAGACAGCTTTATTTTCATGTTTATGGCTGTTTTGATGAACCAACATATGATTATGATTAAAAAAAACATACCTGTGGGCCATACAGAATGCAAAACATACAATGTTTGACGTTACAGATGGATTTTTTTGAAACACGAAGTTAAAATAGGATTAAGGCTATGATAAAACGAGTGGTTTTGCATGTTGTATTTGTACATAGAGATTGAGCTGAAATCGTTGGATTGGTAAAGTTTCTTCAGTACACAAATTCTTAACGCTTCAAACCGTTTTGTTTGATTTCATACATGTCTCCGAGAGAATCTTTTTGGCAGGGCTATGAGAACTTCATGAACCGAAATGTTAACTTATGACAGCTTAAGTTGGGTGTTTAAGAGCAAACCGAAAATCATCTGTCAGAACCAATATATTATGGTCAAAATATTCTTTTAATTACTTATTTTATGTAGGTTTACATCCTTTATTACTCTTTGTATCATTCCTCTGAATAAGACTGAGTTTAGCCAACAAATGTCTTCAGTCACATGGTGAACTGACAGTAAAGTCAAGGTCGTGACTTTCTCGGAAAAGAACGTTGAAATCAGAGAAATCCCCTGACTGTTCATTAAACCGAACTACGTTCTAGCAAAACTGGGAATGGACGTTTTGAGGAAGTTCCCAGTAAACACTAAAGAACGCCATTTGATATCTAAAGTAACATCGAGTTACACAAAATGCTAAATTTGTCACACAACGTCTCTGATATTAGCCTAGACTCTTCCATTGTCAACTGCAAAGTTTCAAGTTAAATTTGAGATATTTTCGAGCCCAATCAAATAAATCACTCAACCTTTCGAAAATAAGATAAAAGAAGCTCATACGACCAAACAAAGCACACGCTTGGGTTTTCCAGGCTCTAGAGACCAGCATCTGATAAGCTTAAATTTGCTAAAGTAGATTTCGAGATTATGCTGCAGCTGGAAGTTAATCATTTTTTAGTAGTCAATCGACTGGAAGTGATGTATTTCGTACATGGATATATCGATGATTTGTTGATCCTTTGTCTTGATGAGACATATATCAATGTGTGATTTCCGAATTTATACTTTAGAATTTCTCTAGCATACAATAATCTTAATATGGAATAAACTGATCAAAAAACAGGTGGACAATAATAGGCAGTATTTCATAATAAGTACTCAAACACAACTTGGGTGTCAGCAGGGATATCGTTTCTTTTGCTAATTTTGGTTCAATTGAGGTGAATAGTGCTGTCACGTCAAAGGATATCATCAGTTCGTCGTTGTTGATTTGGATGTCCTTAATTTGGTACAGGAATTGTGTAGGGGATTTGATTGAGTTGTTGGCTGAATCTACTAAATGTCTCAGTATTCTTGAAATTTCTTTTGACAAGTTGTACGTTGGTGTTCCGAGAGTGCTACAATTGGACGTAGTGGGATGTTTGGTTTGTGTATTTTGGGTCTGCCGTAGAATCGAGGAAGTACTGGTCCGTTGGATTTTATTCTCCATTGTTCTTGTTTTGTTATTTCTCCTGCTTTGACTAGCTTGTTTAAGGCCTTTGAGATTTGGTTGTCTAATTTTTTGACGGGATTTGTATCCATCAGTTTGTATGTGCTCTTATCTTCCAGTAGTTCTTCGGATTTTTCGACGTATTCTTCTTTGTCCATGATTACTGTGGTGCGTCCTTTGTCCGCTAGTATTATGACAATATCCTTTCTATTTTTGAGTTCTTTTAAGGCCTTTTGTTCTTGTGGAGTCAATTGGTTGTTTTCCTTTACCTGTTGAGTTAGCGGTACTATAGTTTGCCTTATTACTTGTGTTTCTTCACTGATTCCCGAAGTTTTTAGTGATGACTCCAGTGCTGCGAAGAATTCCAGCTTTGAGGCGTCGCTTGTATTGTAGTTTAATCCTTTTTGGAGTAGTTGTTCTTCCGTATTTGTTAGTGGTTGTTTTGACAAATTGATCACGCAGTTGTTTGTGTTTTCTTTCATGGGTGGTTTTGAGATCTTGATCAGTTTTTTCTTTAAGGCGTTTCTTTTTTGTTCAAAGGAACAACTTGGGTGTTTTCTAGGTTTAGCTATTTATTATTGCGGATTCATACATGGTTGTGCGCAATGAATAGAAATATCGACAGACTTCCTTGACAGTTAATCAGAAGATCTCACGTCGACTACTAAGGCCGTTGACGATTCTTATTTCCATAAACAAACGACTAGCTTAATAATCTACGTTTATGTATCCTCAATCCGATTCCCCTTTTCATTTTGATGGTAGATGCTTCAGACAAAGCAGTGGGTGATGTCATAGACCGATTGACAAACGAATGCATTCTCAAAAAACTCGTCACAGTAGGGTCGAGATACTCTACATTGTGACAAGAACGTCTCCTGCATTAACATTAAACTCCCTATCAGTGCCAGCTTTTATAACCAGTTAGTAACACAATAAAGCCTAATACAAACATCAAATCGCTCAAAAGTCCATGCCTTGTCTGGGATGTCACCCGTTAATACATACTGAGTCAAGATTCAAATGGTTATATGCGCTACATGTTTTTACCAACTTGGTTAACTAAGAATTGCATTTGGGTTGACGAAGGTTTAATAGGCGGAATAGTTATTTACTTAGTTCCTTAAAAAATAGTGTTGTGTATTTTATTCACTTATCTTGTCAATATCCGAGTTCTAGACTGATAGTCTGTTGATACATACCTAGCCAAGCCCGTAACTTAATCATACTATAGGATGTGTACACTCCTTGTCTCCCCCTAAACCGTGAGATTAACTTGCTTTATACCTTTCTTTCTTCCTGCATTATATCCTTATACACAAATTTTCTTTTATGCATTACTGCCATTGAAGTAATTACGATGAATTTGGTGTTCACCCTGTTGTGCTAATGAGGTGTGGAAATTTGTGCCTGGTCCTACGTTGTGGCTGACCGACTGGCGTTCTATGGGGTTTAGAAACACTAAGATCCTGATGGGACAAACTTCATAACGGCTTCCCATAATATCAAACGGAAAACTATCGCTATGTCTTAAAGCGCAATTACAAAACCTTACATCTATTGAGAACCTCAACTCATTAAGTCTATGTACGTTAAGCTTCTTTCTCTATACTGTACAATTCAATGAAAAACAGATTTACTACCGCAAATACACAACTAGTTCAGGTTCAGTTGATAAAATAAGTAAAATATAAATAATTGATATCTCTGTACAAATTAATTTGAGAACGACATATCAGAAAAAAGGATATAGAAAAACAAACGAAAGCAAGGCAGTAAGTTTGTCTTACAGTATTTATTAGAAGACAACTCTCGACAAATATCATACAAAATCAGGGCAGTAGCTAACTTCTACACAACTCTGATGTTCTTAAGTCAGAATATTATTTACGGTAGGAAACAAACAGCCACTTCGCGATTGTCTTAACCTTATACTAATCTGAAAAAACTCAGTAGCAATTGGCACCCTTATGAGAAACCTGAACTGATTTTTTAACCCCTACTCTTTAACCAACCACTCGTAGCGCACGAGCACTAATCAGCGTAGCGAAGCCAACAGCTTAGATACGCCTTTTTCTTTGACTGTGATAGTGAGTGTGGCTCCAAGTCCCGGTTAAAAACTCGCAACCATTCTGTTGAGTGTGAAATCATAATATTGATGTCTTTTGGCATTCACTGTTGGCATAGCTAAGTGTTTGCTGATATTCTCGATATGGCATATGTGATATAGTCTTGGTTTTATTCAGCGTACTGTGTATCAGGTTAGAACTGGAAAGTAATCTCAGCTGTCGCGTCTTACGTGAGATGTTGGCCTTGAGTTGTCTTAAATCAATTCGTTAGTTCCTAACACTCGTTGAGAATTATGAATACTGAACTTTTGACCTCATATTCTCGATATTTAGTAAAAATATGCTTGTCTAATTGGTTTTCTAACTCTAATTGAGCTCTACACCGGCTACGCTAACGCCATACATACGCGTCCTCTGAACCACTTAAAGGTCCTTGAATACAAAACAATAATTAATACTACACTCGCTGATATCTAAGCAGTGTCTGGCAAAATAACACATGGGAATATGATTACAGCAATGGATGTATGGCTGCTTAAAATTATGAAACACTATGTATTTATTTTCCCGCCACCAATTTTGGAAGGAAATAGCCTCGCGTCTACTGATGCACTGAAATCGTCGAATAAGAATATCAAAAATGGATGAGCTCTTACTTGGCTTACTTGTCGTCCATATGAGAGCCGAGTCAAGTAGGGAAATTGATCGTGAAGCGAACAAGATAATCATCAATAATTGTATTTACTTACATTCGTCGATAGGACCTCAACAGAACGACCATATATACGAATAGCCCCGGAAGTGTAAAAGAAAATACGCTTTATGAATATCAAGTTTTAAAAAAAACATGTGTCAAATTTATCAATAAACGTACTTTATATGTTTCGCCTTTGTTTGGTTTTTATTATTATTACTGTATATTTTCTAAGACCTGATCTGTAGTTAATATCCCCAAAAAACGTTTTACAACCATTATTCAATTGTAATTATGAAACTTAGATTTTCCATCATTCCGTCAGGTGGAAAATTGTTTGTCAAATTTCAAACAGGTAAATTTTGTTCATCCTTCTGTTTTTATCTAACCTCATGACCATTATACAAACTTCTTTGGTTATTTAAAATTTTGAATTACTTTATGACGCAGTCTTTTGTCTTTCTGTAAACCAATATGTCTATCAAACAACTCTCAATACGAATGGGTATTTTAAGTAAATGATCACGTCGGTAAAAATTTTTCGTGAATTCTGTTTTTATTCAATCACACCATCCGTTAATCTAATTATCGGTGGAGGGAAATATCTGAGGAAGTGTAGTTAGAAAATATCCAAACATCACATTAGTAAGACAAGACTTCCCCATGTCCCGTTTGGCCATCAAGCATTTATTAGAAGCATTGGAATTATTCTGCTAAGAATTCCTGAAATAGTGTAATTTAGAGCAGATAGAGTTAGATGGACATATTTTACTCGGAATTCGTAATCAGTGGACAGTCAAATACAAAACAATCATGATTTCGCATAGATGCCACATCGATCACACCTAAACCCACATCTACTGCTCTCATAAACGGATTATAATTCTCACAATTAGATATACTAATTATTCGGTTTTCACATAGTGACACTAGGCTCTACGAGTAGTATGAGGAAAATTATTATCTGCTGTACATTCTAGCGCTAGCCAAAAATTAGTGGGAACAATTATTGAAAGACACCCGTCACCACTTCTGTGTTCGAGACATTATAATATCACCATGAACCACCAAACGGAATGAAAACTAGCAATAACAGAACATGGTGAACTATTCTTCTGCACTCAACCCTGTTAAGTGAGAGAAGAAGATTGGAGTCAGTCGTGAAAATGTATAGTTCCACAGACAGCCCAAAAGAACGATTAGCAATCACACAACTCATGTGTGATGCATACAATACGAAAGATAATACAGAGCATTAGTGTTTGTGGTCCCTCCAGAAGAAAAGAATATGAACTCAAAACAATAATGGGCGCCTCAAACACAGAAATGTGATATTCAAACTTCCACAGTTAAATTGCAAAGATAGGAATTTTACGAACTGATTTATGGGGATCTACAATTTGTTATGTCATACACGTAAAATTGAAACGCAATATACGATACTAATCAGTACGATAAAGGACATAGTCTTTACAAAAAACGTGCTCGATAAGGCCACTATTCCATACGTCCACTGAGTTAATCAACCACGTTTGAACGGTGAAACCAAGAAATCATTACCAAGACAAGTGGACAAACCATACAAAACTGATTTGATCACACCACTGATATGAAGTGTGTGGAAGTATTGTGGTCTGGCTTCTACTACTTCAAACTAGATGGAAACTTAGTACTTAAAAGATATTCCAATAAGTAAAATTAGTCATAAAATATGTCAACTCACGATAATCTCATATCATGACTAGAGAAAAATCAAATTGTTCACTTGTTTACAACCATCTGATGGGGTGAGAAAGCAGAGTTACCTGATGAGTACAAACGTTCATAGCTAATCATAGTTAGTGCTTGCCTCATGATGAGTTCGGTGATTTCCTCAATGTTTTTCCTATCCACCTGAAACAAATTTTCCTAATTTACTCTTCATTTTCAAGCTTGTTTGTTCTTTTCCACAGTAGGCTTTTGCCGATGGTATCCGATCAACAAACATTGAATATCCTTTGTATACAATTATTTATAAATACTTCTGCTTTTTTATTATCATTGTGGTGTTTCTTTACGTATCAGCTCCGTACAATAAAGTTGTTTCGACGTTCGTATTGAAGTTTCTGATTTCGGTGTTGGTTGACAGTTGTTTTTAATTCCATATATTTATAGCGTGGCGTCGGGTCGAGTTGGACTATGAACACCGCTATCAAGAAGCTCGTTCCAAATGACTCTATAAAATCCCCGAGAAGCGAAATATCAGAAGGCAATTAATCTAACAAATCGAGCTTTATTTGCTGGCGATCTCGTAGCATCGAAAGGATACCGAGATCGTGCCAGGATACAAGCTTGGCTACAGAACGTAACCGAATTCGCACGAAGTTACAATAGACGTGTGTGAATAAGAATGGAGGCACAATATAGCTGTCATTAGCACAGACAAACAAAAGCACATTAAAACAAACACTGGTACAGTTGATTATAATAATAATTGTTTTCAATAAACCACTCGTGTTCTCGTGATAAATGTGAGTCACTACATATTCTTTAACTGTGGGAATGCAGCCTTTACGTAGTAAGACTTTGGGTTAGAAACAAGAGTTAGTCATTTCGCCACTAACTGACATAAACTGTAATGTCGAATTGCAATTTATCTACATGAATCAGTGAATACTGGGCCAAAATCCAATGGTTGCTATCTTAAATCATATTAGTTCATTCATAAGATAAAGTCTCGCTCCTCGAACTTATCAGTGGCACTCTAAAATGTTTTAGCTTGCTGGTTGTAACTTATCTGCAAATACATAACTGTGAACAGCCACTTAATAGAAAGAGACTTCGAGGAAGGTTCAGAAGGTAAAGTACTTTATTTGAATAGTTGGTAGAAAGTGGTATGGAAGTTAGCTCACTGGAATCTTATCAAATGTTTGTCCGTAGGTTAAACATCAATGGACAGATTATGCACTTTACAATCATCTCAACAAAACATAACCTGCGTCTGCTTATGAAGTAGATACTAGATAAAAACAGTATGAATTGAATAGATGCAACTAAACCACCTTCAATAATGCATCAACGAAGGTAGCTAAGGGATCTCATCATCAAACAGCTCCTAAAATCATTAGTATTGTACATAAACCCTCATCCTGAAGATTATAACAATATTTCACCTTCAATGAGACTTCAGGAAAATTGAAGTAACATAAAGAACTCTAGGGATTAAGCACGAAAAAGTACGGGTACCGCCTTAAATGTTGATGTTTTTCTTGGTTAGAAATGAAATAGACTGTCCATAAACACCGTACGATACATATTGCGACATAATCATTTCAGAAAACTCTTTCGGAAGGTTACCACGATGATCCACGATCAAATAATCGTGGAATTATCCACCACAATTCAAGCACATAAATCAGATCCGGAATTTTACACAACGAATGAGTCCTAAATTAAATGCTATATCAACCGAATTTACCATAGTTTCGGCAGTCGTATATTTGATCATAACTTTGAGCGATCGCATGAAAATTTACTATTTCAACTCTTTTGTCTGAATCTAAAGGTAATTGTACTTTCTACCTACCTTGAGCACGAATATCACTTCCACTGTTTTTATTTTTTCACTTTACATACTTCCGTATACCCTTGTCGAATTGATTCCACTATTTTACTACTAGAAGCATTTTAATTTTGCTTTAGTTGTCTCGTACTTCCCCTTATTTTACTCTACAAATTCTGTTCTTCCGATTTCATGTGAGTGACCAGTGTCGAAGCGGCTATTGGTTTCTGTGACCTCATTCATAATTAAAATTAAAAAAGTAAACATTCAGAAACGTATAGAAAAAGAATGATAGAATTTCTTTGAACCCAAAAATGCTCCACAAATCCTCCTGTCGACAGATATTTTAGCTGTAAGGAATCGTTTCATATATAATGCCTGACAAGGTATATATTGAATATTGGATACATTGTGCCTTCTACTGTACTAATGAACAGGTTTCGTGAACTTGGCGTTCAGACGTGTACGCAACGTATTAGATGAGGTTTATTTGTGGTGTCTCAGCAATATGCTTGTTGTTTTGTTATTTATCAACCATTAAAGGGTTGAGGTTTAAGCTTAAAAACGGTGTAACAAAGTGTATTCAAGATGAGGCACACAAAGACGTTATCGTACATGGTGAGTATGAGATAACTGCTCCCCATGAACACACAACCCATATCAAAGTCCGTGATGTGAAAAAACATATACTGTATCAGAGAGATAATATAAAAAGCGGGAAATTCGCATTCACAACAGAAGACTTTGATCTATTTGAGGTGTGCTTCGAAAGTCAGCCAGGTAGTTAAATATCTCCATGTCATCTATGTTTGCTAGATAATACTGACACGGAACAAGAAGTCTTTCTTAATATCAAACACGGTACCGAAGCCAAGGATTTTGATAAGGTTCGCTGCTCACTTTTTGCTTATGTATGTAGATGGCGAAAGCAGAGAAATTACAACCAATCGAAGTGCTACTGAAAAAACTAGAAAGTCTAGCCGATGAAATCGTGCAGGATTTTGTTGTCATGCATTCGAAAAGTAGCAAAATGCGAAACATCAACGGTAAGTAAGGTTGATATAACATTCTTGTTGCTTCATATGTGATATAACAATCTTCCGAGTTCGTATAAATTGATGATCAGTCCTATTATCGTGATAGTGATCACTATTTACACACTAAACTGGCAAAGCGTTGATAACTGGAGTTTCCGTCATTATTTTCCGCAACTTATTACAACAGTAGTCCAGTTAGCACATTTCTAGAATCTTAAGGTGAAATAGGTTTGACTGTCATCGATAAGCGGCTATTCTGCTGCCCGTACTATGCTAAAATATTCCGAAGTCGTTACATTATTTATTCTTTTCTCCAGCGATAATGTACGGCTCTGTACAGTGGCGGAATGTGATACCCCTTTTTTTGTTTATTTGTATATGAAAACTAGTGTCCGTTCAGCAGTTTTTTGGTTGACAATAAACCATATCTCTTTAATTCTTCTGAGCCTACGCGTAGTTAGTGGGTATTTGTTTTTCATTTCCTAAACTTTTATTCTGCTTCGGTTCGGGAACCGGGCAGTATCACAGCCCTCACACATATCAAATGAGATCTGTGTGGCGCATTTGTATTTGGTGCCTTCTTGTACCAATATCTATGTGTTAAAATAAATAAATAAAAACTTGTATTTACCTTCGATAAGCCAGTCCACTGGGAACCATCAATAGCAAACGGAGTAGAACTTGTCACAAATTTGCATTGTCTCAAACTCATACTACATGTTATTTTTCGAACTTAGAACTGTTGAACATTATATCGACAATTTTATAGCTTTAGGAGCATCTCTCTTATGCTATAAATGATACATTGTGCCGAAAAAACAGGTGAGGTTGTTCAATCCCTGCCGGAAGTTCATCAGACACTAACCTGCCAGGGCTGAAAAAACCTCAATAGTAATTGCAGTAATCAATACACTTAACTGATTTGCTCGTTATTATCATGTCCTACCAATATCGTCCCAGGGAATTCCTCCTCGTGTACTAATTGAGAACGCTGGAACTGGTTAGAAAATGCGAAGAGATGGTCAATGTGTGATATTGTGTCGTGATATGAGAGTTAATGTCTGATGAAATCTCAGCACGAATTCGAAAAGCTCGTTTGACTTTTGCCAATTTACGTCACCTATGGTGAAGGCGAGATATCCATATATCAATTAAAGGACGAGTATACTGCGCGGCAGCTTTTCTGTTTCAGTTTTCGTCTGCGAAACGTGGTCACTAAGAGCAGAAGATATTCGTAAGCTACTAGTATTTGACCACATATGTCTAGGAAATAATACTCGCATCTGCTGGGATCACCGTATAAGTAATAGTGAGGTTAGACACAGGGTATTAGGGAATGATGGTAAATCAGTTGATGAGGTTGTGAATCTTCATTGACCGAGATGGTTGGGCCATGTGTTTCCCATGCCTGAACACCGATAACCACAACGCGCAACCCTGACTAATGTAGGGATGATTGGAAGAAAGTTAGAGGTGTTCAAATCAAAACGTGTCATCAGTGTTTGAAATCATTGACTTCTGGTGTGAGCGACGCTGGTAGATGCAGAGTACTTGATTGGGGTTCGCGTGACTCGTAATCGATGGTTGAAGACTCTAAGTGACATGGCTCAGAATCGATCAAATAGCTTAGGTGAATACACTCTTTGTCTTCCTTTAAACTATGAGATTAAAATCACTTCATATCTTTCTTCCTGTACTAGATCCTTATATGCATTCTTTCTTTTATATATTGTGGCCAGTGAATTAACTACTACTTTGAATTTGGTATTTGTCTTGTTGAGCTAATGCGGTATGACAACTTGGACCGGTTCACATATGTGCCTGGTCCTACGTTGTAGCTGACTGACTGGTGAAATTTGCACAGAACTGGCTTCTATTTGTCCTTCATGACAACCCGGCCGTGGTCCTAAAGATGGCGCGACACAGTGGCTAGAGACGTTATCAGACATGACTCAGAATATAAACCAGTGGCGATCCTGCTGTAGCTTCCTTTTTACTTCATAAAAGTAAATGTAACTTCCTTGATCGAATTCTTTCTGGTTGTATTTTTACTAACCGAACTGGTTTTCCTCATAATGATGTTTTTACTTCACTTATATACATTAATTTCTGTTCATTGTTGTTCTTCCTTTTATTATACGCATTTTACGCCTTTTATCACTTCACAACCTCATTGTCATTGTGTGGTATTTGTTATTTATTTTAACACATAGATATTGGTACAAGAAGGCACCAAATAGGCATGCGCCACACAAATCTCATTCGATATGTGTGAGGGCTGTGATAATGCCCAGGTGCCCAAACCGAAGCACGTGGTTTTCTTGAGGGGCCACTCCCCAAGCCTTCTACGTGAGGGTCCGATCCACAATGCAGTGGAACATCGTAAAGAGATGCAGCCCCATGGAAGCCTGTGACCAACAAATGGTTCATACGCCATTTGTTCCCACAGGATACTGAAGCCCATGTGCACCATTGGTTTGAAATCCGGTTAAAGCGCCGGACATTCGCTTTTTGTCCTCTGAATTTCGTAGAACACATGAGAAGACAGTGAGTAGGACTTCCCTGACAGAGGCTATATACACGTGGCCACGTGAGACGATTTCGAGAGGGAGAGCGGACTCTCCCCACTCTCGGCCGTACCAGGGCATTTGGAGGCCATTGTGTAGTGCATATGTATATGGTGTCCTCCTTGTGCCAATGTTTGTGTTCAAATAAATAAACAGCTTACGGCATCGTCAAAGTTTATTCTTTCCGAAAGGGTAGAAGCATTGCCTTTGTTGTTAAAAGTTATATCCAAGTTGATGTAATATAAGTTTCTATTTGATGCCTATGTTTTAATAAATTTTTGATTGCTTGCTAATCACTTACTAAACCAATACTGATGAGTACTTAAAAGACCATATTGTCAGTTATGTTACGTGGGTTATAGTATCACCTCCGTAAAAATACTAATTTTTTTACTTCATTTGAATTTTCGTAAAAGTCAACCCACTTTCATTACTTCTTATTTTCCAGAATCTACTCATACAAGGGTTCTCTACTTCTCAATCCTTTCAATGGTAATCCTCATCGGCTTCGCATGTTGGCAGGTACTATATTTAAGACGTTATTTCAAGTCGAAGAAGCTGATTGAGTAATGTAAATTGATTTTTCATCTTTTAATATCTGCAAAAAAAATCCGTTTTATTGTACATGCCTTGCGTCTGGTTCGTTTCTGAAATAATAAACTCGTGTGGGAAAACTGTACAAATCTAGTCTCACATTGTTCATCCTTTTGTATTCGAAGTTGCTTGTCTGAACTGTCGTTTCATATGTGTAAGATGTATTTCCCTTTAGATAATATAGCGGTATGTGGCTTTATATGTATTATCTTTTTTTCGGTCATTTTCTAATAAATGCTTTTAAAGTCCGTTTTGGTGTTTTGTACTCTGTGAAACTGGTAATTGATGAGAAGAGAATAGAGCAATCATAACACTCAGGATCTAGTTGGAGAACTGACTGAAAATTCGTGATAATGCTTATTCTTAATAAATGACTTTAAAGACAGACTCAGTATCCATGTAAGGATACAAGAGAAAACTGAAAGAGTGAAAACAGCCTGTTGAAACCAGCTCTCAGTCAGCTACAACGTAGGACCAGGCACATATGTGCATCGGTCCAGGTTGCCATACCGCATCAGCACAACAAGATGAACACCGGATTCATAACAGTGGTTAGGTAAAAAGTGGTAATATATAAGAGAAAGATTGCATATAGAGATATAGTACAAGAAGAAAGAATCGGTTCGTAGAAGGAAAGATATGAAGCGATTTTAATCTCTTAGTTTAAGGGAAGACGGAGTGTATACACCGACGCCATTGTGATCGATTCTAAGCTGTCACCAAGTCTCCAACCATTGGTTACGATAGTCACGCGGACCCCAACCAAGTAGTCTGCATCTACCAACATGGCTCAGACTAGAAGTTAGTGACTTCAAGCACTGATGCCACGTTTTGGTTTGGCCGCCCCTAACTTTCTTCCAACCATTTCAAATACCGGATAGCATTGCACGTCGTGGTAATCGGTGTTCAGGCATACGTAACACGTGGCCCAACCATCTCAGTCGATGAATATTCATAACCTCATCAACTGATTTACCATCATTTCCTAATACCCTGCGTCTAACGTCACTATTACTTACCCGGTTATCCCAGCAGATGCGAGCAATATTTCTAAGGCATCTGTGGTCAAATACTGATAGCTTACGAGTGTCTTCTACTCTTAATGGCCTTGTTTCACTGCCGTAAATTAAAACAGAACGGACTGCCGCGCAGTATACTCGTCCTTTTATTGATAGACGGATATCTCGCCTTCGCCACAGGTGACGTAAGTTGGCAAAAGCCAAACGAGCTTTTCGAATCCGTGCTGAGATTTCGTCCGATACCAACCAATTAGGGCTGATCAGACTTCCAAGTTAAGTGAAGTTGTCAACGCGTTCGACTACTTCACTCCCTATCCTTAGTTCAGGTGTTAACGCAGACCAGTCCTGAAGCAACAACTTGCATTTAGAGGGAGAGAAGCGCATTCCAAACATTCTGGCATTGTTGCTCAGTGCTACCAGAAGACTCTGCATTTTGTCAACGTCTTCACCAAACACGACTATTTCATCTGCGTATTCTAAGTCGATAAGTAGACCTCGTGGATGGAGATCAATACCCGAGAACTCAACCGACGAGAAAGTTATTTCCATCAGTAGATCTATGATGAAGTTAAACAAAAATGGGGAAAGTGGACATCCTTGACGGACACCACTTGAGGTTGCAAAGGTAGATGACAGTTCGCCATAAGCTCTCACTCGACTAGTAGTGCTCGAGTAAAGAGCCTTTACAAGGTTTATGTACTTCTGGGGTACGCCTTTCAATAACAGACACTGCCACAGAATCTCGCGGTCTACCGAGTCAAATGCTGCTTTTAAGTCAAGAAAGACCACCATTGTCGGACGCCGATAAGTATGCCTGTGTTCTAGAACCTGACGAATGGTGAATATGTGGTCGATGCAGCCACGACCAGGTCTGAAGCCAGCTTGGTTTTCTCGTGTTTGCAGTTCACGAGTCATAGTTAGGCGTCTGATTATTATTGAGGCTAGTATTTTAGATACTATATTCGTTAAACTAATCCCTCTGTGGTTGTCACAGGATGATTTTGACCCTTTCTTATATATTTGGACGATAAGTGATTGTGACCAGTCAGATGGAATAACGTCTAACTCCCAGATCTTAGCTAAAATACTAGTCAACCTAATCGCTAAAATTGGACCACCATCCTTAAAGACTTCTGGAGCCAATCCATCTGCCCTTCCTCGTTTCAGACTAACTATAGCCTTTTGAACTTCCGCTAGAGTTGGGGGACCTACTTCAATGTTCCATTCACACTGTCTGGGAATGGACGGTAGTTGTAGAGTAGCTGAAGGCCAACTGAACTGTTCTCTGAAATGTTCCGCCCATCGTTCTAAACGCCTGGACTGGGAGCAGATGAGTGTATCGTCTTTTTCCGATATAATATCACTTACACTTGACTTATTAATTCGTTTCTTTCATTAGTCTGTAAAGCTGTCTTGTGTTCCCTATAGTCGCCGCCTTTTCCATCTCTTTTGCTTTCGATGCCCACCACTGCTCACGGTCGTTTCTTCGACTTTTTCTTAACCTAGATTTGATTTGTTGTCGCTCTTCATCATATTCGGAACCTGATGGGCGAGAATCCATCAGCGTGATAGACTTTGAAGAAATCCACTGGTTCTTTGAAACTCTGGTTAAAGTCGCTAATAGATGTCACTGCTGCTTGTATGTCTTTCCAAGCAACATCTGGGTCAGCCTCGTTTTCAGAACTACCTAAGTGTGAACTCAGGTGTTCTTGGAACCTAGTTTTGGTTTTCTCGTTACTCAACTCAGTTCTAATGGGTCTTTTTTGCGTCCAGTGTGGCGCAAGCAGATGCGTGCCCGTATTAGGGCATGGTCGGAGTCCAAGCAGGTACTCCAGAATGAGCGACAATCTTCTACCGACCCTCTCCAACGATGACTGATGGCAATATGGTCTATTTGAGTCCATCGTCGGTTTGGTGTAGGGGTCGCCATGTTAGACGATGTCTCTCCTTATGCTTAAAATTTGTTTGCTAAAAATAAGCGATTGTCTGAGCACAGTTGCAGCAGACGGTCACCATTATCTGTTCGCTGTGCCGGAATGCTAAAATATCCACCTAAGTTCCTTTCTTTTTGGTTTAAACTACCTATCTGAGCATTAAAGTCACCCCCTACGAGTACTATGTCTGAACGTTTAGCTTTCTGAAGAAGTTCAGAAAGCTTTCTGTAAAATTCATCTTTCACATCATCTGAGCTGCAGTCAGTGGAAGCGTAGGCAGAAACGACAAAAAGGCAACGACGTGTGTCCCTATCCTTCCGAGTTCTTACGGAGCCATTTAGCCGAACAGCACATAGACGACTGTTGACGGGGATCCACTCTAGCAGTGCTTGTTCCGCCCTCATGCTTAGTGCTATGCCTACACCTACCAGTCCACGAGAATTGGCCATCGGGTCACCAGATACACGTAGAGTGTATCTCGTTGGCTCTCCGTTTTGCCGAGGTGAGGTCAAGTGAATAACCACACTGGGATCCTGTATGCGTGTTTCGGAGACACAGCATACATCGATGGAAAGAGACTCTAGGGTTTTAGCCAAGGAAGCCTGCTAACCTATTTGACATAGAGTGCGTACGTTGAAAGCTCCAATGTGTAGTTTGGAGCGAGGTTTCAGTAGACCTGGGACAGAGTTTTGAACACTAGAATCGTTGGATATGGTGACACTTGAGGAAGAAGCCGAATGAGGAAGTTTAGGGTTGAAAGTCGATGTAGGAAGAATAATAGGAATTGAAGAGGAAGGTTGATTATGAATACAGTGGTCTTGAGTGCTGTTAGAGGTATGAGGGCGGTTATCACTTCCCGGTTGCCCACACCGTGGAAGGGTTCTTCTGGAGGTACCTGAAAAGGAAATTGGATTAGAGGCGGTCTCAACGACCTGAGAGCGTGACCGCAGTGCTCAAGGGACAACTGCTTGAGGCCGGTCGCGCACGACCTTTTCGTGGAAGGTTTTTGACGTGTTAGCTCCGTTCTTCAAAGGGCCTTACCGCCGGACGGAAATCCGTGAGGTAAGGTGTGGTGTATATTTTTAGGGTCGACCTTTTCTAACCCCACCCCTCCTTGTGGGAGGGCAGCATCGCTGTCATGCTGGTTGTCTGAAGGAAACACCTTACTGCTGTCACACCTCTGTACAGTCAGCAGTACGACTTCGCCTTCAGACCTCGGGTTTGTTACTTTTAGGCTGACCGCTCTTCAACCGACCTTTCTGACGTGGTAGGACCTTGAGGAACGATTGTTCCAGCCAGTATAGCTCGGTTGTTTCATCACGATAGGCAAGCCCGACCACCACGTCAAGGTAGCAACAACGGTCGGGCAAACCAGCTCTAATAAGCCTTAATCAGTAACCAAAGTAGTAGGGTCTGTGCACATTCCTTGCTAACGTAGTAGCACTACTACTACTACCGCGTAACACCACCGCTTATTCGGTATTATTTATATTACTTCCATAAAGCGCACATACTGGTGCAGTCGCGATGCGATTTTTATATACTGTCTTCGCACATTACATGTATCTGACATGCCGATCCACCTACCATCGAAATGCGAGGAAAACCTGAAAATCTTGATCTCTAATATTATATCAACTAGGACTGATTGCTTGATTTGTCGTAACAAGGTGTTGTTCAGGACCAACGCCTCCCAAGTGGATATTAAACGTCCGAGCAATAAACTTTGAACACCCTATCAGTGCCAGCTTTTATAACCAGTTAGTAACACAATAAAGCCTAATACAAACATCAAATCGCTCAATAGTCCATGCCTTGTCTGGGGTGTCACCCGTTAATACATACTGAGTCAAGATTCAAATGGTTATGTGCGCTACATGTTTTTACCAACTTGGTTAACTAAGAATTGCATTTGGGTTGACGAAGGTTTAATAGGCGGAATAGTTATTTACTTAGTTCCTTAAAAAATAGTGTTGTGTATTTTATTCACTTATCTTGTCAATATCCGAGTTCTAGACTGATAGTCTGTTGATACATACCTAGCCAAGCCCGTAACTTAATCATACTATAGGATGTGTACACTCCTTGTCTCCCCCTAAACCGTGAGATTAACTTGCTTTATACCTTTCTTTCTTCCTGCATTATATCCTTATACACAAATTTTCTTTTATGCATTACTGCCATTGAAGTAATTACGATGAATTTGGTGTTCACCCTGTTGTGCTAATGAGGTGTGGAAATTTGTGCCTGGTCCTACGTTGTGGCTGACCGACTGGCGTTCTATGGGGTTTAGAAACACTAAGATCCTGATGGGACAAACTTCATAACGGCTTCCCATAATATCAAACGGAAAACTATCGCTATGTCTTAAAGCGCAATTACAAAACCTTACATCTATTGAGAACCTCAACTCATTAAGTCTATGTACGTTAAGCTTTTTTCTCTATACTGTACAATTCAATGAAAAACAGATTTACTACCGCAAATACACAACTAGTTCAGGTTCAGTTGATAAAATAAGTAAAATATAAATAATTGATATCTCTGTACAAATTAATTTGAGAACGACATATCAGAAAAAAAGATATAGAAAAAGTGACTAATCTACGAATTTCCTGATACTTCACAAATATCTACATTCAAATCAAAAAATGACAAAATTGCATAATCAACTTGACGTGGATCATTTCCTGAAACTGAGTGTGAACATGAAGCTTTCGCATGCCACTTAAGCAAGCGTTCTAGACATTCAATTTCAGTGAGTAGTGATTTAATATTGGACGCTCCACAAATCATTGCACAGATGTCGACTAGCCACTTCATGCTTCGGCTAGGGTCAGAACAATGTAAACATACAGGTTTCTCAGCTTCTAAGATCTGAGAAGCATTGAGATTGTTAGATTCTAATAAACCCGTAGGAATTCAAATAAAAAATACGGATAATAAATTATTAAGATAACTCGTAAACAACAGTAAAATCAATCACGTAATTAAATAGGTCTTATAACAATGCAATGTACTGAAATCTTAAAAACAGTAAATTTTGCATACTCTAAACTGAGTGACAGCGATTTTTTGAACTTCTCGTTTCTGAGATACAACCAGATTCAGTGAACTTAACGTTAAATATCCTTACACATAGTCTACGCTTGAATTAGAATAATGGGCTACTTTGAGAGTCAAGTGGTAATATTGTGTGTTAGAATAGTCAACTGAAATATCAAAGTTTATAATGAGAAAAACAACCCAGACGAACCCTTGCTAGTTACATAGCTTAGTGCTTTCGAGGAACGAGATATTGGGTGATTATCGATCCTAAGAGACGAACTAATTAATACATAGATTGAGATTCGACATTGGTTAAGGACTTCTTAACCATGAATACAGCTAATTGACTGGACACGACTGCACATATAGAGAAGTGGAAACAATATGAATCCATGTATAAAAGCTCGATAGCGCGTAAATGAAGTAACTAATGTGCTTGAGAAGAAATGTAACCATTTGAGTTATGTGCTTCGGAAATGTGACTGTATGCACATGTAGCGACGTTCATACATTGTTTTCCTAACAATTGATGCAACTAAATCGCTTCTGTAAAACTTAGTGCTCAGATAAGTCTCCACAGGAGAAAATAAGTATCCTTGGTGTTGCATGTCTGGCAACATGGACTTACTTACACCTGTTAATCCTCGTGGAGGTGCATAGGCCGTAAGGATCGACCATGCACAAACCGAATTGAGACACTACGGATCATCGCCGAACAATCAGTTGAATGGGACTTGTCACTACATCTACTTCTTTGATTATGAAAAGGCGTTTGACAATGTAGATAGGAGAACATTATGGAAACTTCTTCGACACATATGCACAAAAGACACATTAACATACTACATCAACACAAAGAGGAATGGTAAAAAATCTGAAATAATTTCTGCATGAGATTAGGAAAGATTAAACATAAAATAGTGCAGTGAGAAAAGAAAGGGCGAATTTAAGCGATAAAAATACAAAATAGTTATGAAGCTCAAGACTTAGACGGTGATAAGGAATAAATGCATATAATCCACTAAGATTAATGTCACTCGATGTCTCTAATTACAGATAGCTCGAACACCAAATAGTTGGCCTGTCTCTACCAACACTAAGTAACCACATGAACTAATGCTTATCCTAACAACGATGAGAGCTACTTTTCAGACACATAATAACAACCTAATGGCTCTTGGACTTGTAGAATAAAGTGTAATGAAGGGAGTGTAGAAGGATACAATTTATTTCTGGATGATTTATATATAGAGAGTTGTTGTTGTTTTGCTCAACGATGAAATGACTTGTCAGTAAAAAAACGATTCTGATGAGATAAATTAATATTACCTATAGTTGACATTATTGGTAAGAGATATGCATGCTAAGAATTATTATCCCTTCTGAACCTGTACAATGGATAACACTTTTGAAATCTAATACAAAACATGATGTAAACTGCTAATCAATATACATTACCTTCCGTTAGAGAATTATCCTTGTCGTTCTGTTTGGCATGTACTAATTCATCATGACCAAGCGCTCTGGATAAACTTTCATCATGTTTAGCAATGAATTCTTCTACTGGTTTTGGTAAAATAAGTGGCTGTTTGCTACGATTACGATTTTTCCACTGAGATTTGCTCGAAGAATTTGAAGACCATTCTCCTATACAAATCGAGTAGTAATCAGATCGTTGATTTATCAAATCTGACCACCACTCTCTTATAGTGCATTCATTAAATCCGTATGAATCGGTCAATGTTTGATGGTCATTAAAAGAATTTGGAATATAATCATTGACATCAATATCTTCGTTATACAAAAAGTTTAATTGTGTATTGAGAAATGGGCTTAGTAAGCCATCTTGTTCGTAATCTGAAAGTAGCAAACTTTTGTAAGTTGTGGTTTTTTTACTGTTAGTACTGGAATCAGATGTAAAATTACTGACAACCATTTGATGACGATGCGTACATTGATTTTGAGTAGTTAAAGTTGAATCAGTCAAATCAACCACTTGACATGGTTCGAATAGATTACGCAATGGCTGAGATAGTAACAATTTTACCGAAGCCTAAGTGAAGAAAACGACGATTAATAATATGAAATGAATTTATGCATAAGAAAAGCATGTAATCATTAGGTATCTATTCTATTGTAATAATGTTGAAATGTTATCGAATTTAAAAAGTTTATGCTCAGAATGAAAAGTACACTATTCGACAAAAATCATTATACGTAATATTAATAATAATAAGTAAATATTAATGGAGTTGTAAATATTTATTTTTGAAATTCTTCCATAAATATTCATTACCATTTCTAGTCAAAGTGATATAATTTCATATCTTTAAGTTCAAGACTGCCAGAACAAATAGTTACCAGGTTTTTATACGATAAAAATAAATTCCATTTTAGTCAAATCACAGGATCTTCCAATGAGTCACACATAATTTATTTTTCCCCTTAAGAATATGTTTGTGCAGTATGGAAAAGGGGAAATTCATTCAATAATAAAATATAGTATATGATTCATGATAGCGTATGCATATGCTGATGATGTTGTTCGGAAGAACAGTAAAAGATCCACGACTAATCTATCCAGCTCAGAGGACGAAATTCCGCCAAAACCAATAACCTGAGCTACAAATATTCTTCACCATCTCAATAATATTATATTCTTTTGATTGCAATTCCTCGTTTGGAGCATAAATTATTGTTGTGTGTTTTACCTTTCTTGATTAACTGCGAACCAATTACTTAGTTCTCTTTCACTTATGGCGTAGTTATGCCCACATTGTAATATTTTATCTGTGTTGATGTTTGATCAAAAAATTACTCCATATTATTGTATAGATTGAGTCATATAACGAACTACTGCTCACCGTGTTCGCTTATGAGATTGAATATTGGAAGTAGAATGTTCCATTTGGACAAATAGGTGTTTACATTATTTTTGTCACAAGTCAAGATTAATCGTAACCAAAAAATGTGTAGGACGTTATCTTATAGAGAAATACAACCACCAAATCTAACACAATGAAAAAAACCACCTATAAATAGGTTTACAGAAATGCCAATATTTGAATTAATTTAAGATAAAGTATTCTCTTACCTTATTTATGCGATACACAAACATAAGAATTTAATAGCAATATAGTAGAACTCACATCAGCTATTTTAATCTTTTTCATACTCTTCTCATTCCAACCAATATCACGACCAATTTTGAATTCAGTTGAACCTAAGAAGTCAGAAGCTGTATCTAAGTTGAGTAGCTCAGATCCTTGATTAGCAGTCATGACTAATGGTTGGTTAGATTCATGAACTCGAGCATTACTATATGGATTTTGATCACTTTTCAACAAATGTAAATTAAGTTTGTGAGATGGATGAAATCGTGAGTCGATATATTGCACCCATGAAATCCAGACAAAAGGTCGATCGTATAATGAGATGTCCGACGTTTGACCACTTTTAATTGGACGATTGGGAAATAACTCCAGAGCTTTAGCGACAGAACTAAGTCGATGCTAAGTAATTAGTAAAACAAAAAAAGCAATGAATTTGTAAAGAAGATACCTGAAAATCCATTCAAGTAAAAGTTTACAGTCGTCAAATATCTCATGGCACAAAATAAGAACGAAAATTGTGTGAGGAAAGTGAAGATTTCACAGGAAACCACAGACAACTTTATTTTATAAATTAGTTCACAAGTTATAAACAACATTCTTGAAAAATTGTAATAACATGTTCGAAATGTTTAGAACAGAGAGTAGAAGAAAATTGGATAATTTACGGTTGATTACGAATTATGATAGAGTACATGATAACCGTCACTTTTTATAAATGTGGAGTTGTTGACGGTTTTTGGATCGCTGTATTGTTAGTCTAGTCATTAAAAGTCGAATATACAGTTTGTTAACAAGAGCAATTCTGCTTCATGTTTATGAAACCAGGATACACTCAGTTGGTGATATTCTACAACTATGTATTTGATGATTATCATATTTTAAATCCAACGACAACACTGTTAGTGACACTGATGTCTAGCAATGTGCATTCGGCCATAGTGTCAATAAATCTCACCAACTTGAAGTGCTGGTTTTGGTGGCGTGAACAAATTTCACACATATCATCTCAGTAGATCGCAAACCACTCATTATTTCCCGAAGCTGAGACTAGCTAGAAGAAAACGGAGACATAGTCAGTTTATGACATGACGCTGTGGTACGAGAGATAGTTGTATAGAACTATCATCATATCTCCTCAGCTGACGTCCTCAAGATCGTGCAACTTAATGCTTTAAGGAAGTATTAGATAAAACTGATAAGAGAGATTGTTGAAGATACAGAAACCTCTTAATTGTTAATCGTTCTGAGCTTTATATTTTACTGAACTATACATTTTGCCAAATACTTTTTATTTTTATTCATTTTTCACAGTACGGCCTTTATTATAATTCTTCACAGTATATAACACTCCAGTGCATATTGGCCTTAGAATGAGCTAAATTTTGTGTTCAAAGCCAGCAGTGAGATTAAACAAGGTTTATTTAACCTTGATGCAAATGTCTAAACAGCTCTGAAAAAAGTAATTATTCATGATATAAGCATTTCCGAGAAAAACTTTTTGACCTTGATTATGCTGATAGCAAGCAACCTACTCAATCAGTTGTCAGCTAATGTACGTATGTATGGCGTGTAATGTACACCATTGAAACACAAATTACTTCTATAGTCTGACATGAGTCTAACCGAACACACATTCTTTGTGATAACCAGTGGAAAATTGTCGAGTAACTTGGCAGCTTTGTTGATATTATTATTTACGATCAATTTACCAATGATATTCAAGGTTAACTTACTTCAAAGGTATCATCGAATTTGAATACAAGACGTAACAGTATGACAACTAATGCCATTGCAAACACTTCTGGTCGAACGACCCTGGGCCAGGGGATTGAACTTAACAAAGAGCGGTATATATATTTATCAACATGAATACATTCCTGTTGTAGTCTCTCTAACAAAGGTCGTACAAATTCATGCATTACCACCGGAAGACCTAGAGCGGTTATATGACGATGCACCAACCAGCTCAGTGGATATCTATACGTGAATAACAGAAAAGGCAAACTTTACGACATCATGAATTGATACGGTGTAAAAACATCAATTTTGATCCAGTTTAAGATTAGCTGAATGAGTGAACAGCTGAATCAATCTATTTTAATATTATAACTTTCTCCGGACAATAACATATAGCTGTTTCATCAGAGTGAACACCTCGAAAGTGTTCAGAAGTAAACATTTACCAAGAACCAGTTATGTAACAAAAATTACTGAGGTGAAAACTTATTGCTCAGCTAGCATGTTTTTTTTAAATTGTCTGCTTATGCACATTTAATATGTCATTACTACTCCATGAATGACTGAACCCAGGCGGAGTTACTTACCAACTAGGAATTCATAGTTTGAATAACCATATTAACATTTTGCATTACAGATTTGTACAGTAAATCATAAATGAAATAAGTGACGTTTTGAAACAGAACTAGCAAGTACCAAGTGAATTTGATAATAAACTTAATTTTGCGGTTTAATCTAGGTCAATAGGAACCTAAACTTAACGGGATCTATGTACTTTTTCGGACACAACAATACTTGTAACAAAGAAATGATCTACATAAATAAATAAACTACGAAACTGACATAAATGCTTCTCGATGTTCAGAAATTCAAGAGGGTTACCCTTATTCATCCACAATAGCATAAGAATAGTCGTCTACAAATGTCGATTTTCCCAAACGACAATCAAAAGTCAAACATAAAAGCAAGCTAATGGTTATTTCGTACAATGTCGTATTTAGTGTTTCATTATCGAATCTCCCAAAGCTTCTTTCATTGTTTATAAAAACACTTTTAAGCTACTGTTTTGTTGATGCTTGAATACGTTAATTTTTCGTTCTGTTAATAAGGGCGTTGCAAAACAAATTTACGTGGACTAACTTTGAGGAGAGCAAGAACAAAGATTGGTGCAGAATAATATGAATCCATTTTATTTCGTTAGGTTCTCATCAGCTGCTTACAACCTAAAGTATTTGAAAATCAGAGTTATTACAGATATTGACATACTTATACATAAGAGGGTGATGAAGGATGAATATGTATCATGATGTAGCAAAGATTCCGATAGAGTTAATGGGGTCATAAGATTTTGTTTCGAATAAATAAAGTTTGGGAGAGAAAGTTTCAGAACATTTAAATAGTGATTAGAACTCATGGAATTAGAAAAAGCAGATGATGAGAACCTAATGAAATAAAATGAATTCATATTATTCTGCACTAATCTTTGACCTTGCTCTCTGTAAGACAATAAAGAGAACTATGTGTATGAGACTAACTTTGGGCTTAATTAATCTTATTTGGTAGATCTAACAAATCATTTAAATAGTATTTAGATGTTCATTTTTTGAACTAGTCAGAACTGTATGAGAAAACTGGATACTGTTTTTTTTACTGTGTCACTACTTGGTTGAAGTCCGCGTGACTATCGTAAGCAATGTTTGGAAACTCTTGGCGACATGGCTCAGAATGGACCACAATGGCGTCGGTGTATACACTCTCTATCTTCCCTTAAACTAAGAGATTAAAATCACTTCATACCTTTCTTTCTACGAACTAATTCTTTCTTCCTGTAGTATATCCTTATATGCAATCTTTCTTTTATATATTACCACCTCTGAATTAACTACTTCTATGAATCCGGTGTTCATTTTGTTGTGATATGCGGTATAGCAACTTGAACCGATGCATATATGTGCCTGGTCCTACGTTGCAGCTGATTGACTGACTGACTATTGTGTTACGGTAGCTAGTATTTAGAATATTCAAGCGATTTATCCAGGTATCACCAAAATATGACGACTAAAACACTGAGTTTTGAAGTGCTCTTTAGATCTATTACCGTGAAGACAAGACAACAATAATAGTCATTGCAAATTCATTATTATTGATAGGGGATCAGATATCATCTATAATAGCACCGAAAAGTTTGTTTGAAGTAAAATTGAAGATACATGTACAACACACAGGGTTGTAGAAACTAAAAGACTTCTAAACAGGTATCATCGAAACACTCAAAAACGACAGAAAAAAACAGTCACTCCCCTTAAAGGTATTATGTCCTACATTAAAAACAATAATATTTTGAGGTTCAAGCTATAAAAATAACTTATTTAATCCCAAAGTTGTGTAGAAAGAAAGTTCAACATCAACTGTAAGTCATCTACACCTGAATGGTAAAAGATACTCCCGGAATAAGAGGCAGATATAAAAGTTATTGTAATCATGAATTCCATAGTAAAACCATAAAATACTATTGAGACAAAACAAATATTTTTACTTTGGGAAATGATTCAACCCAATAAATTCACGCATCCGAGCAGTTGCATACGCTAAATGATTGATTTCCGGAGGTCTATGACGTCGGATTAAACTTAATAGACTCTGATCACGAATGCAAAAGGCCCCTGGAGGAAATAAACTTTGAACCTAAAAATATATAAAATGGTTGATCAAGTGTCAGTTTTCAAAATAACAAAGCTCATCGAGATGATGTAAACCATGCTTATCTTAGAAGTCGTTAAAGCTACTTATATACTTACATAAGATGCTTACTGGACATCTATTAATTAGATCTAGTACTAGGAAAATTTGTGTGAGCCGTCAGATTAAGATGTATTGTATTACCAATGTTTGATTTACTAAATCTGAACCTAAATGTTGGCTTCATTTCAATCATCGTATTTTGCTACTTGTTTAACAAAACCACTAGGTCATTAATTACTATTAACCTAACTTATTATAGTCATTCAAACAAAAAGTGCGATAACAGTTATACACGCTTAATATACCTAAACATAAATGGAAATGATCAAATAACCAGTTTCATCTGCTGTCATATATTTTATATTTAAATAAGATTAGTTCAGTGAAGAGTACTCTTTTGGGCCAATTCATTTTCAAAGCTGTACAATCGCAAATATATATGTATACTTATTTTACAGGATCATAATAATTATAATAATACTGATAGTTAACTGACACCATGTCTAACAGAAGTTTATTATCAGTATTATTATAATTATTATCGTCCTGTAAAATAATTATATACATATTTGAGATTATACAGCTTTGAAAATGAATTGGCCCAAAAGAGAACTCTTCGCCGAACTACTCTTTCTTATTTTATATTTGACAACAAGTAAATGATGTTAGACTGTGAAATTTGAACATAGAAAATAGGTAACTAGTAATAAACATGTTTTCCCTACGGCGTGAAATTCACATAAAAGAATAGAATAAATACACTGAAATAAAATAGTAATCTTATTGGTGGTTTTAAGTGATTACAATTTGTTCTGAAAATTATATGGTTACTGGAGTAGGAACGAAAGAAAACGCCGAACAAATCACACAAAAAGGGAATTTCGTAAGAGTCGGTGAATGAATAATTCCAGTTAGATACTGTTTTACTCATGTAATTTTAGCTTTAAACACATTACTGACAAAGCATAATTTGAATTAAAGCTATAATACTAACCAGTTTAATCGCTTGTAGAAAAAAAACACACGCTAGAATAATTTAAAATGAATCGTCATCCAGTAAATACACTTTAACTAAACGCTATTAGCATAACGTACGAAATGAGTGTGTTATGAGTAATATTGTCAAACGTAAAACTTAGATAATAGTGACGTATTTGCTGATAGTTCATTGAATAAAACATACTGAGTTTGCGAAACTTTAAAGTTATAACCGTTTGAAGCTGATAATATAGTTTAAACAATGGAAAACAACAACATTTACATAATTAAGCTCATTCATACAACTTCATGGCCTCTGACTTTAAAATGCCTAAAATAACAAGGAATAATAAAATTATAAACAAAGATTGGGCATACTTTAGTCAGTGAAGTTTAGATTAATGTTCAAAATAGTACCGAAAATCAGAAGAGAAACAATAGGACGTATCGTTTAGATTTATTAAGGTAACTGATTGTACGATACATAGTTGGTTGTATTGTTCTTTTCTGAAACTTAACCAACAAATTTTCTCTAAATGATCAAATCTGACATAATCATTTTTACTCAGTAATATCTGTTTATCCAATAACAGTAGTACAACTATTTCTACTTGTCTACCTTAACCGTGATAAATGAAATGATGTTGAATGTTAAAATCAAATATTTGAAAGGTGAGATTCTAGATCCGCTGAGTACCGAACAAACAAGGAGTATTGTACTACCAAATTTATATCAAGAAATATAACACCACAGTTACAACTCATTGATTAATGTCAGGAATCATAAAGCAGGATATTTGCGACTACTTGGTCAATGCATAATCTGTCATGAATTTTCGCTTAAATCCATTTTCGTCTTATCAAAATGGAAACAATGAATTTCATAGATCATTGATAAGAAAATATTATTGATATTCTTTGAGAGACTTATCTAAACATGAAGTCTCATACTAAGACGAAACGGCCGTCCAGTGCTTCCAGGTTGTCAATGGTGGTCTGACATTGATCCATCCGTGATATCAATCTAAACTCAACAATCTCCACAACCCTATACTGAAAAATATTTTGTAAACTCACTAATTTAATAACGCATTTTGTCAAGTTACACAATACATATGAAGATTATGAAAACATATTGAAACTTACAGATATGAAAGGTAAACGATGATTAATGCATAGGTCTTGTAAATCTTTTAAAGTAATCATTGTAGTAAGTGCACATGGATTATTTGGGAAATCTGGATTTATAAAATGTGAAGAAAATAATGGATTGACTGCATTTCGTACAGGACAAGTAGTTAAACAAGCGATAAACAAAATAGCCACATTATACTCCATTAACACACGACAGTGAAAACCACCCTCAATTTGACCACGCCAAAGTAAATGACCTATCGGTCGTAACTGAGATCTGATTAAATAAGGAAATAAATTATAAACAAGTAAGTTTAAACGTTGGTTATTAATCTACAATACAACTGTTTGAAAAATTCAATCAAGTAACTGCATACATAACAGTATCTATAACTACAATGGAATATATCAAAATAAGTCATAGATGACTTCAACAAGTGACTTAGTTGGTAGTGCTAAATCTATAGCACAGTCATATTCTCGAAATTAACAATGATGTGTAACACTATCATTATGATAGTGTTACACAATGAACATGGTCTCATATAAAAAATAATCAAATATTATAAATTAAAATTTCCTCTCAGCTGATTAGCAAAATATCGTCAACTAGCCAAAAAAAGTGGAGGATAACTTATCTAAATACTTAGCAGTGTGTGGTCTGGTATAGTACAATACTGTTCAGGCAAGAATTCACTGACATACAAAGGGGAGAAAATGTATACGACACAATATAAATAGCCACTGATATTTGGATTACCAGATGTGTGTTTGAACGTCCTGAACAATCACAGATCACTTTGGTTGAACATATCAGTTATATTGACTTATATCACCAATCCACTAAATAGTTCATTCAAGACTAATAAGATAGCAATCACCTCCTGAAATAAAACATCTTGTCAATCAATGAAAATTGACTTCACCCAGAGTACACCATCATTAATGCCCATTGCCAAGTGATGCGAGAACAGTTGTTTTAAGTATAATAAAAGATTAACAGCTTTCAGGAGAAACTTAGGATCCAGAGGTAACTCATACAATTATAGAATGAATAATCATATCTTCCGAGTTGGTAGAGTTCAAATGTTAATTATGATAAGGTATAAATAGTGGATATATCAACGTAATTTTTGATAAACTCAGTGCCACTAGGTATGATTTTTAATCAAATTTATACAGCTGAGAAATGCCAAAATATACAAAACACCTTAGTTCGCAAGGCAGAGACTCGATTGACGCATGCATGAATTACAATCAGGTCGGAGCACGATGATTAGTCTATTTTTTCAACCAATTATTCCCAGAGGCTGGATTGAGAAGACTAGATTTCTGTGTAAATTTTCCACAAACCCTTATGTTTTAACAGCATTAACTTTTGCTATTCGGACTTTTAGAATATATTTTCGTATGCTCTCGATTCATGTTCTGATTTAGGATCAGTCAAGTGAAGTCTCGTTTCCAAGGAGTATATAATAAAGCAAACTTAAATTTACTTTCTGATTTAAAACGGCTTATAAATAACATCAAATTTTCAGCGGAAACTCCCATTTGAACGTTTAAATCATGACTAAAATAAAACTCACAGTTGTTTGGCGAAATGCTGTGGTGGTATTTCTTGTGTCCAATTATTATTAGGGAATAATTCCGATTCCACAGCTTTAGGTTGATAGGACAGGTCCGAATCATGAACATCTGGGTTTCTCAAATCAGATGAATGGACGGATTGAGCATCGTCATCAGGATTTTTATCAGAAAAAACGGATTCTGATGAATCAGACTCACTACAGTCTTTTCGTTTACGTCCACGTCGTTTAGATTTTTTACTTTTGTCGACTTTTTTCGATGCCTTTCTGAAGTAAAGACGAAATAAACCACGAAAAGTTTGTAGTTTTATTAAAGAATAGCTTTGTAACGAAAGTTGTTCACTATGGTATCACACTATCGAGAAATTACTACTATTTAAAAATATATCTTTTGTTTTGATCTTATTTTAAATATCCCAAGAATTAATTAAAAATGTGTTTGCCTTGTGAATATTGCGAGAAATATAGATGAAGCAAGAGACAATCGAATACGTCTTCAGATCAACCCAACTGTTTAAATGGAAATAAACCAAGTTCATTGAGTCCACAGTGTTTGCTAGATCAGTGTTTGCTGATCAAAGGAATCAGAATATTGGCAATGATGTGACTGAACTTAAATTCCAGTTAACCGATCAGTGAATTGTGAGTGTTGCTACGACTTGATTACAAATAATAATGACCAGTCCTCAAACGGCTGTACCTTCGGTTCTGTGGTCACAGTCCTAGGTTGTCAAAATATCTACCAACTTTGTGTCATTTACAAGTAATTCATAAAGAAATATCCTTCCATAGTGTGAGGGAACGGGAAATGAAAAGTCTTCAAACAGTACTGACAGTACTCGAGATCATCTTATTCATCTTATTCTTCATTCACTAATATTCCCTCTATTTTAACTATCAGACCTCCTTGGCTTTGACTAAGAAGCTCATAAACCATCTAAAGGTTGTCTTCTCGAATACTAACGCCCAAATCAAATCTTATGACGAACTTTCATCAAAAATGTCAACCGCAGGTGGCGTTTGTCAGTGTTTCCCATTTTACTTAGTTTTATCGAATTTCATCAGAGATGTCCTTATAAAAATTACAATTTCATCCAACGTTTCAAGAATTGATTTACGCCCTGGAAACTCACTCTTTGATCTGGTGTATGCAAATAATATAGTCCTGTTTGGAATCCGTTTCTCTCCATGCAACTGCAAAATTTTTTCTCAGGACTAGTTCGTGTCAACGCCTCGATCGGTCATCGAAAGTAAGGTAGTGGAGTGAGTCGACCGCTTTACTTACCTTGAAATTTTCATCAGCGCTATTGTATTAGTAACTGATCAAACCCCAAATATGAATTCAAAAAGTTAATTTGGACCACTTGTGGTGTATGATGTGTCATTTGTCAATCAAGGGGCGAGTATACTACTGTTTATTTAAGCAAACACATATATTGGTACAAATGAGACCAAAATAAATATCCACTGAGATTGAGAATAGACAGAGAGAGGGTGAGTATGATAAAAAACAATACACAAATAAGAATAAGTGGACGAGGGCAGTGAATAATACAAGCAGTTCTGTTAAGAAAATTCCAATCAGAAAGAATATTTTTAATCACAGAAGTTTCTTTCGGTTTTAAAAGAGAGCAAAAAACTACAACATGATCACTATCAGCTTCTATTCTGAGCCATGTTTGATAACGTATCAATCAACTGAGTTGTGATATTTGTTGAACCCCAACCAGAGAGTCTCGAGAAGCACAGATATGTGTCAGTCCTGTACAGCCTTCTTTTATACCCCGGTACCAAGTCATAAACTGACCACCTCTCTGATTTTTCCAACCACCGTATTTCACCATGACTGTAAAACATGTCTATGAACATAAAAGACATGCGTAGGTCACAGGTGCATTTTCAACACTGTTCGCATATTTTAGAGCAACTGTGTAAGCGATTCTGCGGTCAGATGCACAGTAAGCATACGTAATATTACTAAGCAATTAACCGTTGAAAGTAGATGTTTTTAAAATAGCTGGGTAAAATGAAACAACTATTTTTAGCTTTAGTGACATAACACTGAACTAGGTCTAAATTCAAAACTCACTTTTTTCGAGACAAATGTAGAATATTAGTTATTTCCCGACCTTCCTCTGGTTCATACAATAGACCCCAACCAACCCACTGAAATTGACTTAGACGAGTTTTTATGAGCTCCGATTCGTGTTCACGCTGGGTAGTCATATAACAGTGATCCGATGTTTTGTGTTTCCGTAATATTTTATTAGTAGGCTTGTCTTCTTCTGGAATCATCTTGCTTTCAAGTACTTCACTAAGCGAATTTGCCAATAAAAGAGCTGCATTTACCCAAGCATCAGAGCCAAGTTCGCCAGTTATAGACAAATAGTGGAGCCATATGTCCCAAACAGTATCACAAAATGATACTTTTTGTTCCACAGAAAGATTTAATTCTTTAGCCAAACAATTTGCTTGACGTCTCATTATGAACTGTAAAGTGATAACAATAACTTTGTATATACAACAACCTATGATGCAGAAATGAGACTTAACAATGACTCAGATAACAATAACTAACCAAAGTTTAGTTCACTTGTTTCTCAAAGTCTAGCGTACCAAACGGAAATATAATTATTTTACAATGAAGAAATGTATAGCTTGATTATGAAACTGAAACCCGACAGTCTTAAACTTGGATCGTATTGGTTAAAAGTCAAGTACTTTAGCCAATTTGTAACTCTAGAGCTAGTGAACGAGAGTAATTCAGTTGAATAATCACAGAGAATCATTAGATAAGTTTTGGAATCAGATACTTTAACATTCGCCATATTTTTTAATGTTATTAAATATGAATAGACAAGGTCAACTTAAATAAGTATAAAAAGATTCCAAAATGGGAATTTAAATTCATTTTAGACAATTAATGGGTCACTTTTAGAAACGACAAGATGTACACATACATATTATTATTTTTTTATTTTCACTGACTACCATGGTTAATATAATACATTTCATTATTGGTGGCTAAAATGAAGTGAATGAGTTATTTCTTGTTTTTGAATTTCATTCGATATTTTTTTATTTCAACACATAGATATTTGTACAAGAAGGCACCAAATACATATGCGCCACACAAATCTCATCCGATATGTGTGAGGGCTGTGATACTGCCCGGGTGCCCAAACCGAAGCAGGTGGTTTTCTTAGGGGGCCACACTCCGAGCCTTCGACCTGAAGATCTGATCCACAAGGCAGTGGAGCATCGTAAGGAGATGCAGTCCCATGGAAGCCGGTGACCAACAATTGGTTCATACGAGATTTGTTCTTTTAGGATACTGGAGCCCATGTGCACCATTGATTTGGAGTCCGGTTAAAGCGCCGGACATTCGCTTTTCGTCCTCTCATTTTCGTAAACCACACCCCCGCCACGAGAAGGCAGTGAGTAGGACTTCCCTGGTAGAGGCTATATACGCGTGACCATGTGAGAGCATTTCGAGAGGGAGAGCGGACTCTCCCCACTCTCGGCCGTACCAGGGCATTTGGGGGCTATATTTAGATATATTTAGAAACAATGTGCTTGTTAAGAAACATTATTATGAAGTTGGTAAAATGATATTATTTTAATAGCTTAGTTAAATAATGTATGGCTTCACTACTTAATAAGAAAAAATATTACACTAAATTAGATATAATGACTGAAATTAGCAGGATTAGACTGTATAATCCTTTAGTTTGTTTAAGTAAATAATCTGTTTAAAAATGGTTAGTTATTATTCGACACTCTTTTTTAATAATAATTACCCCTTAAAAAAAATAAATAAGATTGATGAACATTTTTGCGAATAATTTCATTTCTGCCTTTATTGAATTTAAAGCTTATTATACTAACAATTAATGACTTCATAGCGTTTTGTTTTGAATAACAGTACATTAAGTATTGTATCTAAGATCGAATATTCTGTTAAATGAATCAAAAATTTAGTTATGAACATATTATATTAGGGTTTCAAAGATTATATAATGTATCTTTACACCTACTATCAATGTTCAGATCGTCGGGAGATTTAGGAGAAAAAAATAAAGCATCTCCAATTGTACACTACTCTGACACATCTCATTGTGATCCAAAACTCCAGATCCATGAAAAATAACCATAATTAATTTTACGGTCAATAATATTATTATGACAATGAAACGCTGTTACTTCAACAAACAACAACACGTTTGCATGGGCTAAAGATAGATATATATAAGAATAAACTCACAGTGAAAGGTTCAGATAACCGCCAAGGACGATGGCTTTCAAAGCACTTTTCTTTCTGCATAGGATTAGTGAAGCTCACCTCATTCGTGCTAAAGAGATCATCATCTAATGTGTTCAACAGGTCTTCACGACAAACAAAATTCATATTTTGGTCATGTGTGCTATCCGATTCAACTTTTACAAATCTCGATGCGTCCGCTATGTTATCTGTAGCTGCTTGGTTAGATTGACTACCTATAAGTTCAGTCTTTTGAATCACTCGTAATCCGCGGGTTTCAGAGAAATCCTGGGACTAAAAATATGGATTTAAAAGTACAGTAAAGCTCAATATATACAACTAAATGATGAGTTTAAAAGTAAGTATGAACTATTTAACGCGCAGAAAACTCTTTACTACTAAAGTACTTGACCATTCATTGGTATTTTTTCTAGCTTGAAATTTTCCCTAGTGAGTTGCTTTTAAAAACTTGTTAATTTAAAACCTAAACCACCAGTCTATTTAACAAACAGTGAGTGCGTCTGCATATGCTTATTATTTGAATTTCATCAGATAGAAATGTCAGCCCGCTTAATTATTTCATGACAACACAAAGATCTTAACTTGACGAACAGACTAAAAATGAATGATGAACTTTTATCAATAACTCATCAATATTAAGCATACAAAAAATTAGATAAAGAACCAATGGATTACAATTTGGGAGAATGATTAATTCGACCCTTGAAGGAACAACTCGTGGTAAAAGAACGTTCATTGGTATGAAACATCTAGGGAATATCGAAACAGCATTTTTAAAAATATATCGATCCCTAAACAGTAAACAACACCAACTTTATTCTTAGGTACTAACGAAGTCTAATGATTAGAAATCCATTATGGTCACTGTGTTAGGTTGACTTACGGTCATTACGCATTACATCTGACACAATGATTAGAAGAGATTGATAAGACCTAGCGTTTTACCACAATAGGTTACGAAGGTGAGTATGTAACCCAGATGAAACTTATGTAGGGACGCAAAGGTTAGGGACAATCAAACTGAGAAGTGACATCAATCTATGAAGTCAACGACTACTGATTTGCGTTATGTAGGCAGGGATACAGACTTCCTAGTTGAAAGCCATAATCAACTGGACCGAATTAGATGTGTTTAAAATTTACCTTCTAGTTAATGAACTATAAAATCATTGCACGTTTATTATTCCCCAATCTTATGAGTCCATGTTAAACTATATTCTCCAAGCCTAGTTCTTTTATTGATGCAATCATTATTTCGACTCACGCTGTATTTATTTCGTTAATTTTTAATAGCTATGTTGGTGTGAAATGTGACAACATGAATCTATCCATATTTCTTCCAAGTTTTACGTTGTCTACAAATCATTGACTGTGGAAAGGATATCAGTAACTCTCTCAATCCTGATACAGAATATTAATACTAGTTAGTAAAGTACAGTAATTCGCATACTTTACGAAATCTAATAAGCTTGTAAGAACTTTCAGTACACCTTCACTAACTAAATAAAGCATGTAAAGACATAAAACATTCTGTAATCTCGAAATAGGCTAAGATAAACGATTAAATGGTCTGGGAACAAACAGATTTCTCTAGAAAATAACATACTTGGGTAACCCCTCTATAAACACCTGTTGCAGTTCCACATTCTGAACAAATCAACTGTCCAGTGTTTTCATCTTCTATAAGTTGACGATTTTCACAAATCGGACAACTCATTATAGCTAAAGAAATGATAAAGTAATATGTTTCTAAGCTTCGTAATTTACTTAGTATAATGCAATATAATGTAATGAAAACTGCCAATGCAATCAAATACATATTTTGGAGTCACGTTCCGTCATGGGGTGTCAAAAAAAGTTTTAATTGGCACAGCACCACCCATTCATAAACAATGTGCTCATAAGGTTAACTTAGTTTTACCTTCACAAATCACTTACCATGTACAGCAAATAATCATTATCATGTTCTTAGGGTTTCGAAATTCGGTAGTACTTATCCCATTTGAAGTATCTAGTATCCTATATTTATTCGCCTTATATTGGTTACTAGACTATTAATACCAGAAACCCAGAAGTAATTAATCATTACACTCTTCGTATCATTATATTATCGGCTGGTTGCACCTGACTTCACAAACTCATTGTAAGTAGATCACATTTGGGTTTAATGGTAACATCAAGGCACTCTATTTGATTGACTATTTGGTTATTTAATTTCTTACGGCTACGATTGATCACAATCATCATCACAGGTTAACCATAGACTTCAATAGCTGAATTATGCAACGTTAAGAAAGCGAGCAGATCTGCCAATTGTTTACTCCCGTCTTGTTTTGTTATATTTTGACTAATAAAGCAAATTCACTTGATATTGTTTTATTTGAATCTTCCCATTGATGTTTTAGGACTGAAGTTGATCAGTCTCTTATTGGCATATGTGCATACTGTGCGTATGCCTCGATATTGCCTTAATTTACAAGCATTATAATGCTCATAATGCTTGTAAATTATAATGCTTATAATGCTTGTAAATTAAGGCAATATCGAGGCATACGCACAGTATGCACATATGCCAATAAGAGACTGATCAACTTCAGTCCTAAAACATCAATGGGAAGATTCAAATAAAACAATATCAAGTGAATTAAACTTCACCCCATTGCACAAGCAAGTGGCTATCAGGACTCAGTAGCTAAGTGGATGACGCGATGGCGTTTGAAGCGAACGGTACTGAGTTCGAGTCCCAGAGTGAACATCAACTCTGAGATGCAGGTACATCCAGCTGACGAGTCCCAAACAGGACGAAACGCGCGTCCTGGATTCCACTGCTAGCCACTATCCATCTCTGCTTATAATAAAGTAAATATATAATTCAAAATGAAGTAGCCCACACGGTGCACGTAGTCAACAACTGCAAGTCCCCGAATAAGATGATAAGGCAATTTGTATTTAGGACGTCATTTCTAATTAGAAAGATTTGGGGCTCCGGATATTTGTTTCGACAAATACCAATGACCCGACATATACTGACAAGTTCCAACGTTCTGTAAAATACAGTACAAATTACCACAAATGACCTTGTCATAAAAAGCAGAACAGTCAGAAACTGACATATTTAGGAAAGAAAAATCAATGATTTATTGGTGAAATTCTAAATCCCAGTTCAATTAGCTAAGTGAGAAGTTATGGGGTATGGTACAAGGTTTTCTATGTTTCTTCCCAACAATTTGTAGTAACCTATTCCCAAACGCTTATGTTTTTATATCGAAATGAAACCCATTGTTTTTCAAACAGGTTTGTATGATGATTACAATGTGGCATTAAATATAAATGATTGATAAGGATTAATTTGTGAAAGATTATTAGTAGTGTAATTACAGAATAATAAACCACAATATATGAGATTAACTGTAACAAAGGTCACGATTTCCTTTACAATGACTGGCAAAAGAATGTTTAGGAAGAACCCCAAATATAACTGAAGAGTTGAATGCCATTTGAAACAACACACTTTATCAGAATACCACAAAAATGTTTCGAGTACGGTAAAACATGAAAATAAAGGCGAACTTTGGGGGAATATAGGAAATTAATTGACAATTAAGGTGATATTGTATCTTTAGGTGGATATCATATTCGCTAGATGAAACAATTAATTTCTTAGTTGCATAAAAATCATCTAAAGGAAATTAATTTCCGTGTATAACACCCAACTAATGCAAGACTGCACATTTGATGACAGACTAGTTATTCACAATGACTCAGTTTGCAACGTCTATATCAAGAATGCTGTCACAATACATGCAGAAAGCCTCATGCACTATCTATCTGCTTATATTCAGAAAGACCGACTTGTTGGCAAAGGCAGTGGTCACAGCAAATTTCTTGTTTACGACCAAAAAACCGGTAGGAGGTTTTGAGGTTGTAAAATACAAATTCTTCTTACATCGATTTATTAGTTTATCTGAACACATAAACATTGGTACAAGGAGGACACCAAATACATATGCATCACATAATAATAGTGAGGTTGTGAAGAGATAAAAGGCGTAAAATGCGTATAATAAAAGGAAGAACAATGAACAGAAATTAAAGTATAGGAGTGAAGTAAAAACATCATTATGGAGAAAAGCAGTTCAGTTAGTAAAAATATAACCAGAAAGAATTCAGTCAAAGAAGTTACATTTACTTTTATGAAGTAAAAGAAAACTACAGCAGGATCGCCACTGGTTTCTATTCTGAGTCATATCTGATAACGTCTCTAGCCACTGTGTTGCACCGTCTCTAGGATCACAGACGGGTAGTCATGAAGGACCAACAGAAGCCAGTCCTGTGCAACTTCCATACTACGCCCGCAAATGCCCTGGTACGGCCGAGAGTGGGGAGAGTCCGCTCTCCCTCTCGAAATACTCTCACACGGCCACGCGTATATAGCCTCTGCCAGGGAAGTCCTACTCACTGCCTTCTTGTGGCGGGGGTGTAATTTACGAAAATGAGAGGACGAAAAGCGAACGTCCGGCGCTTTAACCGGACTCCAAATCAATGGTGCACATGGGCTCCAGTATCCTAAAACAACAAATGGCGTATGAACCAATTGTTGGTCACCGGCTTCCATGGGACTGCATCTCCTTACGATGCTCCACTGCCTTGTGGATCAGATCTTCAGGTCGAAGGCTCGGGGTGTGGCCCCCTAAGAAAACCACCTGCTTCGGTTTGGGCACCCGGGCAGTATCACAGCCCTCACACATATCGGATGAGATTTGTGTGGCGCATATGTATTTGGTGCCTCTTTGTGCCATTATCTATGTGTTGAAATAAATAAATAAATAAATTCATACTACGACACCACGTGATATGTCGACCATCTCTTCGCTTTTTCCAACCAGTCCCAACGTCGGCAATTAATGCACGACGTGGGATTCTCTGGGACGATATTCGTAGAACATGTCCGAACCACAGAAGTTGACGTTTCGAGAAAATGACATTAACTGGATTGCCATCGCTGTCAGTGCCAAACCTCTGTGTTATTAACATGGTATTGCCACTGGATGTCAGCATTCTTTCAGAGACAACGGTGACCAAACACAGAGTGTCGTCTAACACCTTCAACTCAGAGGCCTGGTCTCACAAGAATAGAGCAAAAAACTGCTCTCACCGACGCGTTATAGATCCGATCTTTTACAGCCAAACTAACAACACGAAGACGCCAAAGATGATCCAGATTGGAATAAGACGCTCCGGCTTTCCCTATATTTGAACTGATTTCATCACTCACGCCACCACCAGCATTTATGCAGCTACCCAGATACACGGACTTCTCGACTACTTCCTTCTGTTCACTACCGAGGGTGAGTGTAAGAGAGTCCTGCCAGTCTTGTAGAAGTACTTTGCACTTGGACGGTGCAATGTACATGTCATACTTACGGACACTGGCTGCCAACTGATAAAATGGTGATTGCATGGCTTGAGTATTCATCGAACAGTGAGACAATATCATCCGCATACTCAAGGTCGTTCTCCAGACAGCAGATTCACACCACCATTACCTAAATCAACCAGAGCTGTTTCTGGAACATCATCGATAGCAAATTCGAAGAAAAATGGTGAGATTAAGCGACCGTGCTTAGCCTCATTGATTTAATGTACCAGTGGAGTGAGGCGGTTGTGCGCGTTCACTCTGAGGTGTTAGTATGTAAGATTTCAAGATGTTAATAAACTCAGACATATCCTTCCTCTATAGACAATCCCAGAGAACAGTCCACTCCAACAAACCGAAGGCGCTCCTAATGTCAAGAAACACGATTGCTGACCTGTGATAAGTATGACGGTGTTCTAACATTTGGTGGAGGGTGAAGATATAATCAATACATCCTCAACCAAAACAAAAACCAGCATGCTCCTCATTAGTCAATATTCCTCAGGTTTTGAACAATCTACGAAGTATGGCGTAAATCAATAGTTTGGACGCGATCGGAAGTAAACTTATCCGCTAAAAGCTGTTGCATAAAAGACGTGAACCCTTTTTAAAGATAACACAACTATCGACTCATTCCGTGATTTTGGAACACTCTCTAATTACACGACCTTTGTAAATAACTTAGTACCATAACTAGTAATTCGCCACCATCTTTGGAAAGGGCCGGAGGTAAGTCGTCTGGACCTGGTGATTCGTTGCGCTTTAAGAGTTGGAGTCCCTTGAGGATTTCACATCGTTAGATAGATCAGTCGTCACGGGCCATGGAGTGTAGGACAATTTGATCGATGTCCCGGGGCATCAGACCATCTAAACTGCCCCTCGTCCAAGATGTCGGTACATGTCACTGATTGACGTCCCGTTAGCTTCACAGATTGTTTCACTCACACCAGACTCCTTGTTACCAGTGAGTCGGATGAGTTGAAAAAGCCTCCAGAGGTTACCAGATTCAGCCGCTTTTCCCAACTCGTTAGCAAGCTCCGACCACCAGGCTTCTCAGTCCTTACGCAAGCTTTGCACTATTTTATTAGGCAACAATCTTTGTTTATGGACAAACTCGTGGTCACCCGAAGTAGACCGACGTGATACAATGAGATGTAAGGAGCTTGTAGACACCCAGTTAATGGAGATCCAACAGATCAGTGTTGCTTCATCTCTGGTGCTTAGTGCGACACCAACACCAGACGAAGTTGCCACAGTGTTCCCGGATAAACGCAAGTAAAACAAACTTTACGAAGTAGCAGATGGAGTGCCAATTCGTAGTACTCTACTAGAGTCTTGAATACAGGTCTCGGATGGACAGCAGACATCGACATTGAAGCTTTCTAAAGACATAGCCAACCCTATCTGTTGTCTGATCTGCTTTAGTATGCGAACGTTGAAAGAGGCCAGTTTGAATGGCATACGTGGTTCTAGAAAGACTGTTTTAGTATCCGTAATCAGTGGTAGCATTCGACTCTCGAACAGTCAGTGACTTGAGATCGTTTAGATAAGACAGGGTCTCCACCATAGGCAAACTTCTGTATAAGTTTGAAAATAAAATACCCAAAGTGAGAATAAGGAGTACACAAGTGACGAAGTACAAAAGAAACAAAAACGAATGTTACCAAATGATTGTGAATATGACTTTTCTGAATGAGCGTTGAAACAAGAGAAATTTTTCCAGCATTAATTATCATTAATTTGTGTATGAGCTGGGATAATACCCAAGTACCCAAACCAAAGTAGGTGGTGTTCTTAGGAGGTCACTTCCCGAGCCTTTGACCTATAGATCTAATTCAAAAAGTAGTGGACAAACGTTAGAAGATGCCGTCTCATGGTAGTCGATGACCAACAATAGGTTCATGTGCTATTCGCCCCATCAGGATCCCGAAGCCCATTTGCACCATTGGTTTGGAATCAGGGTTTCCTAACTCCCCTGAGTGGATTCTCCGTACCCATTGACCCGGTTAAAGAGCCAGACATTTGCTTTTCGTCCTCTCAGTTTCGTAACCAACCTCCCCACCGTGGGATTCAGTGAAAAATACTTCCCTGTCAGTGGCTGTGTATGCGAGGCGATGTGAGAACATTTCGAGAGGAAGAGCGGGCTCTCTCTATTATCGACCGTACCGGGGCATTTTGGGTATATAGCATTTGAATTACGACTTCATAGTTGACGTGTTTCACTAATATACACTTACACACTATCACTTATGGAAACCTGCATGTGCTCATGACTAACTACTGAGCACATAAAAATGCTTATGTAATTAGGTAGGAAAGGTTCTGTGAAGAATCCCAAGGGGTAGGGCATGAGGTCTGCACTTCAACATCTATAGTCAGTTTATGTCTACCTTAAACAACTACCACATCAAACCTCATTGATGTGAATCTAGTATTATTGCAAGTGATCATGTTTCTTATAGTATGTAAACAAAGCTTTAGTCTAGCAGAGATACTAGGTTCACAATAATGAGGTTTAGGCTGATGGAAACATCCTTATTTCCAGTAGCTAAGCAAGCCTATTATTGCTGTATATTTATGTAAATAAGTTCGACTGAGACAGACTTCTAAACTTCAATTTTAATATTAATCCCGAGTGGCAGTGAAGAGGCCAAGTGAATTGTACATGCAATTGTCTTCTCTTATAAATTACCAAAAGTGGATGCAACCTTAAAAAATCATGTGCCAGATGTCTCGCAGCTGACTGCTAGTACGTGGCAAATGATGGTTATTTTAAATAATGCATCATTCAATACTGCGTCCAACAATGTCGTCGATTTAACGCAGTTCCACTTCCGTCTGTCAAATAAGGACAGACCAGAAACACTGGACATACGTTCAACACAAAGGTGTAAAGGATAGATTTGTAAGGTAATGGATTTCTTTGATTGTTCATTTGGATGACGGATGAATAAGGCGACCAAGTTCATGGACAACAAGACAGAGACGTCACTGAAGCATGATCTGGCGTACATACAGCTCGAGGCGTGGTGAGTTCAAGTTGCTTCGAACTCCAAATAAGTCAGTCATTCAGCTACAATATACATCGGTCCAAGTTATCATACCTCATTAGCACAACAAGACAAACACCAAATTCATAGTAGTAGTTACTTCAATGATAGTAATATATGAAAGGCAGATTGTATATAAGGATAAATGCAGGGAGAAAGAATTAGAAAGAAATATACAAAGTAATTTTAATGTCACGGCTTAAGGGAAGACAAAGAGTGCATACACTGACGCTACTGTGATCCATTCTAAGCCATGTCATCCAGTCTCCAACCATTGGTTACGATAGTCACGCAGACACCAACCAAGTAGTTTGCATCTACCAACATGGCTTACACTAAAAGTTAGTGATTTCAATGACTGATGCCAAGTTTTGGGTTGGCCACCCCTTACTTTCTTCCAGCCGTCTCAAACACTAGTCAGGATTGTGCGTCGTGGTAATCGGTGTTCAGGCATACGTAACACGTGGCCCAATCATTTCAGTCGATGAAGAGTTTATTTTTGCGTTTCCTAGGCTCAGTGATCACTTTTATTGAATATTATTGTAAGTTAAGCCTCATATGGACTATCCATGAAAACATATGTTTGACCAGCGTATTATGAGTTAATCTTTTCGTTTGTGATCATTTTTTGGTCAAATCATTTTTTTTGGAAAACTTCAACATTCTCGCTTTTATCAGCTATACTGAACCGAATGAGACGTAGGCGTTAAAAGCCTTTATGATTCAATTTATCTTCTAAAAAAAGGATATATTTTTAGTGTAAACTTCTATTTAATGAATCCATCATAAGCTGTTATATTTGTTTTTCAGGTTGATGACAATCATACTTGTTACTTACAACCAAGAGGCATCAGTGGCACTCTAATGTTGATATTCACGTAAACTGTGAATGAGAATCCCATAAACAAATTCATTTAGGTGCATGAATCATTCTTCATACTGAGGTTAATTGTTTAAAGATATTTGCTCTGGGAAAATGATGGTGGTCGTATAGGACACTAAGGAGAAAAGAGGTATATTTAGCATAAATTTAGATGAAACAGACTATTCGGTGTACATTTAGGCGAAAAGTGGATTATTTGGCTACCACTGAGGTATGAATCTCAAGACTTCACCTCATGGTAGATATTTAGGTAAAATGTTACTTTTCATGATAGGTGAAAAAGGCGACTTAAAAATACAATTGACAAATTTTTGGAATAGATGTTGCCCAAATATTCCACAAGTTCGTCCATGTCCTAATGTTTTTGATTTGATTGGATTTTTGTGGAAACCGTTCTGAGGAATTCGGATATATGGTTGATTTTGATAGTTAACAGCATGACAATATAGGGCACTACAAACGTAGTAAGTTGAAAAATAATGACGTACAGTAGCATATATATGCACAACGACACTTAGATTTTACAAACTCCAGGACCACAGGTTTGTTATGGTTCGTAAGTTATCATCCAATCTTACTACCTTGAGGGAATTTCATGTAGATTTTGGGGTTTTCCACAAAGTTCAGGGAAATTTTAAAGAAATCTCCAAAGTTGTGGAGAAATATTGAGGAATTTCCATAGATCTTTGGAAAGTTTTGGGTCTTTGTGCCATTTCACCAAAATTTTATATAGCGGCTTCCCCCAAACGGATAAAATTTCCCCTAAAATAGGGAGATTGAGCATCAGCAACTGGCGTAGATCTTGTGGCCGAATGTGAATATAAGACGACAAAGAGAATAGAACAAAACCGGATTAAACAGACCCCTACATTATGTTTTTTAGGTAATACTTAATTTTTAGTGATGGACGTCTAAAATGAACGTACGTTCAGAGTACGTACTCTGAAAATTAGGTAATACAGAAAACATAAAAGCTACGAAAAAAGAACACAAAATGCGCTGACCTTTAATAAGGAAAGTGGTCGATAACAGTCAACAAAAATACAAGAATGAAATGAACACAGTTTAATAATCGAAACTTGACGTAAGGTTCGATGCCGAAGTTGGCGCTTAACAGTAGTGTGCAAGGTCTACAGATTTTAGTCTAGGTCAAGTATTGCATCTACTTCTTAGTGTACAATCTATGTAACAATGACTCATAGAATGAAAAGCAAAGTGTTCACAAATACTGTGACTACCGTCTTAATGAATAATAAATTAATATGATTATAGTCACAAGAATATAAGAACCTTTTGCTTAACAAGCTTCCGTGTTCAGTAACAATAAATCACCGCTTCATTCAGGTAGGGACCTAGGTATAGTGATCGAACAAAAGACTAATATTTGTAAAGCAGGATGAAACGCTCTCCTAGGTCCTTAAGAATACATCAAGTTTGCTCAGAAGGACTCTATAGGAGTTGCCATAATCACACAAGCCAGTAGCTAATTCCGAGACTTGATTACTCTATAGAAGTGGGTGTGCCAGTGATCCAATCTGCTGCGTTGTATCTATTGGGCACCAGCCTAAAATTCCGTGTTGAACGTCAACTTAATTAAGTCTTTTAGAGTATACTCAAGTGTGTTTGAGATCCTAGGACTTATTAGAAAATTGTTTTCCCCATCCTTTCAGTCTAAGAAAAGCCTCACTAGACACAGAACGACATTACGGAACTGTGTTATACTATGACCCGTTACCTTCAATTTCGTAATGACCGTAAACTGTCACATACTCCGCGAAGAAGTACTTCACGTAGGAGGAGTCTTACATCAATGGGTATATATTAGCACTGGGCCCAAACACGAGACAATTTGGGGAATAGGCACTCAACATTTAACACGAAGAAAGACCCAACGATGAAGAGGGCGGGAAGCTGGAATAGAATAAATTCGAGTTGACGGGGTGGCATGACTCAACCTTACAGGCGTGGTCCCTGCTGAATGTTCTATCTTTTATTCACAATAAATATATTGTTTTATCTCTAGCCTAAGCTTATTCATCATCATGTATTGGCAATTGTTACGATGCAATGAGTTGGTGTAGACGATAATGTAACTTCCACGTAAAACCTTATAGACTAGGCAGTTATATCATGACAAATCGACAATTTTAGGGTTAGGTCTATTATTAGAGCAGTACTAATATAATAGTAGACCATAATTCTACAGGTCAACCGCACCTAGCAACCATCGGCATTCTTCTCGAAACTCCTAGCAATGTATTGTGCTTTATGGCATTTTCAACTCTCTGTAGAAGACCGAGAATTCACTTTATCACTGATCACAAACCCCTTACCTTCTCTTTAAGCTCATCTTCAGATAAGTACTCACCTCGAGAGTTTCAACGACTGGACTACATTTCTCAGTTTACTTCAGATATTCAACACTTTTCTGGAGCGAACAGTGTAGTCGCAGACGCCTTGTCTCGCATAACTTCCTTGAACAGTTTACAAGGGATTGACTTTATTAAACTCGTTCAGCTCCAAAAGAAGACATTGATCTACAGCACGAGTTATCGTCAACAACCCTTAAACTGCGCATCAAGCAGATGGGAACATGTAAGGAAACCTTACTATGTGACACAAACACAAGTAAGGATCTTCAAATCGTGCCGAAACATTATCGGCGCCACGTTTTCAATAGGTTGCACAAACTTTCTCATCCAGGTGTTCGTGCAACCATCAAGGTTATAGCAGAGCGGTTTTGCTGGCCTGGTATGAATAAACAAGTGAGGAGTTGGGCACGCTCCTGTGTAAGCTACTTAAAATCTGAGGGTTTAGACACAACAAATGTCCCTTAGGCTCCTGATGCTAGTTTCGACCATGTTCATCTGGATTTGGTAGTATGTTGACCAGATTCAAATGGATAATCTTATCTCTTAACCTGCTTAGACCGTCTCGCTCGACGGCCAGAAGCAGTACTTATCGAGGATATCACTGCTGAAACAATGGCTCACGTCTTCGTCGAACGATGGGTAGCAAACGTCGGCTGCCCTTCAACCATCACTACAGACCGCGGACGTCAGTTTGAATCTGAACTTTTCCGTCGTCTGAGCATACTTTTAGGAATCACTCGCTTCCGTACGACCGCCTGCCAATCACAAGCAAACGGGTTGGTAGAACGCTTTCACCGACAAGTAGAAGCTCCATTATCAGCTACAAACGTTTCACAGTGGAACGACGCTCTTCCACTTGTCTTATTAGGTATTCGCAATGCAGTGAAAGCTGACATTGTATACACTGCAGCTCAACTCGTTTATGGAACGACACTTCGACTCTCAGGAGAATTCGTGGATCCTTCATCCTCTTTAATGAACATGGATCTAACCTCCTACACGAACAGGCTTACAAACGCAATGCGTTCAGTTAAACCTGTTTCCACTCGACCTCAATCAACTGATGTTTTCGTTCAACCTGACTTACGATATAGTACACACGTTTTCGTTCGTCGAGACTCACATAGACGACCATTCGAATCGGCATACGAAGGATCTCTCAAAGTTCCTCAACACGAATCTATGTACTATATAGTCGATAAGAATGGAACCAACGTTAGCATCAGCATCGATCGCTTAAAAGCAGCGTATTTAGAGGGAAATCATATTCACGTCGATTTTCCTTCAGTACAAAAGCACGACAGGACTCCTACATCGATAATACCTCAACCGACAACCAACACACACGATGATACTTCGACAGTATCAGAAAATAAACTTAAAACAACGCGTTTTTATATGCTTATATTTATATATATTCATTATTTCGCTAATACGTGTACTAAAATTAAAAAACATTTCGTAACAGTCGCTTTTACGCTATCGCATGAACATGAGTTTATTTTGCTTTTTTCGCCCACTTTGTGTCTTAACATGTGCACGAGTTTATTTCGACATGCACCTACATATTCTTTTTTCTACTTTCCAGGACAACTGGAAAAGAATGATGCAGTTTACGAGGAACCGAAATTTTCATCGTACTTTTTCTCTTTTTACTATATTGTAATTCATGGTTCCTTATAGTAAGGAAAGACTACTAGAGGCTGCCAAACCTAGCAAGCTATCAGTAGAGTGTTTACCAACGACAAACTCGTTGTGTTCAAACTTCTGACTAGTCACATCTTAGGGTTGTAGAATTTATGGTCTACTATGATATTAGTACTGCTCTAATAATAGACCTAATCCTAAATCTGTAGATTTGTCATGATATGACTGCCTAATCTATAAGATCTTACGTGGAAGTCACACCATCGACTACACCAACTCACTGTATCGTATCAATTACCAATACATGATGTAGAACAAGGTTAGGCTAGAGAAAGAACAATATATTTAATATGAATAGAAGATATAAGGTAACATTCAGCAAAGACCACGCCTACATGGCCGAGCCATGCCGTTCGATCAACTTTAGTCTATTCTATTCATTATTCGCGCCTTCTCCATCGTTAGGTATTTCTTTGCGTTAAATATTGAATACCTATTTTCCGAGTAATCTCGTATTCACCTTTGAGGATAGTGTGGTTATGGTCCAATGCCACTACAGGGTCATTACTACCCCACTGGAGGGGGAGTGATTTGTAGCGGTAAATAAATCCACAAAATAGTAGCTCTGTAAGTCTTCGACATTGGATTCTGACCACATTAGTTTTGAAGGACTCACCTAGCTGATGGTGGTTTGTCATGCATCCGCACCAGGTCACGAGCGGGAACGCCATGCTCAACATCCCCTGCAATCGCTAGCCAGATTAAATCAGAAGATCCTCGATATATTGATAGTCTATCAAAAATAAATTCGAAACTCCTCGCCTTTGTCTTTTGATTTCACTGGGTGGGTACGCTTCATATTAGAAGGTGTTACTGGTTAAAGCGTTGTCAAACTCCAAATACCTGTGGCATCTTCACTATAATCGTCCTCCACTAATGAGGCAGTACCAGGCTACCATCTAACTCCAGAATATTTCCTCTTCTCCTAGTCCTTTGGTTTATGTACGAACACAAGTGTTTGGGGTGTTCTATAGATTCCTTCATATATGTTTCTTCGTACGACCTTCTATACTTGCGGAGGGTCGAGGCATAAATATTTCGAACTTCTCTATATTGAGAACTTATTTATTAATGCACAGTGGGGAGTTTCTCGGACCCCTCGGTGTAGTCTAAAAGATGTGCGGTGCAGTGACGTTTGTGTACGAATTTCTAAATATATTTCAGGACGTTACAACTGGGGACGCTGGCTCTATTGACTAATCTACTGCAGATGCTGAGTGTATGGTACCCCGTATATTTGCCCTCCAGACGTTAGGTTTAGGTCGGATTGACACGCACTCGTTTGTGACAACTATATGAAAACCAAAGATTAGAACTGAATGTCTAGGGGTAGCATATTTTGAAGGTTTGTGACATCAATATCACAGCAGGTCGATATGAGATTTGGTAAGGACAATTCGGAGTCCCGGTGGTATCTAATTGTTTCACATTTTACACTACAGCACATGTGATAACAGTGTCAACTGTTTTCTGTTCGGGATGATTTTCTGGCAACCCGACCCTCGGGTTTTTCCAGTCTGTCGTGAATAAGATAAAGTCTCATAAAATTAAACATCGACCACTTGATGGCCAAGCATCACAACCGACTAACAAGAACTCACTCACCTCAGTTTGAACTGCGTTGGACCAAACCAGTCAGCAGCTCTTGTCGTTTTCATTTCAATCGGCAACTAAATAATTTCCACGTTTGAGGTTCATAGTGTACGTTATCGATAACTGTAAATAAGAAAGTATGTCTACTGAATAGAACTACTATTACTCCTCCACACTTATGGATTATTTAGATCTTTTTAACAGGAAAATTTCAAGATGAGGTTCCCCATATATCATGCATAATGATCCCTATGAAGTCTTCAAAAGATAGTTATGTCACATATACTTTTAGTATGGGTTATATTTGCACTCTGTGGTCACCATATTGATAATGAAGTGGAAACCATATGGATGACAGATTGTCGTGTGGGTTGTCATATGCTCGAAATTCAGAAATCTTTCAGGGTATCATGAGTCACGAATTCGCTTTGTAGCCTTCAGATTTAATAATTCAGAGTCCATCGAAAACTAGTGAGGTACATGCCATTTGACGATTATCTTTAGCAGCATTCTGGCTTTGCAGATGGGAGAAAAGTATCCTGAGAGCTTAAACTTACACTTCAGACACCTGTCGTATAGTAGTTAAAGCACTCATAGATGTCAGTTGTATGCGACGGCTGAGTCGAAACTGACACTTAAAAAATGCTTAAAAATGATGAGATAAAGTCTACAAACGGCGTTCCTTACCATTCATGTTTTGGATTGTTGTTTTACTTTTCCAGTTATTGTTAAAATCGTCGTTGTTTCGCCAACCATTAGACCTTGGTTTCATTTTTCGCTGTCATGGTGAAGATATTCGTTGGAAACCTAAATCCAGAATCCAAAGCTTCTGATCTCCGCAAAAAATTTGAAGCCTTTGGGAAGGTTACGGAATGTGATGTTGTTAATAATTATGGCTTCGTGGTAGGTTGTGATAGTTTTCCAGTCAATTTTCTAAGCATATGGAAAAAGAGTCTGAGGCTGAAGCTGCAATAGAAGGTCTCCAAAATGCCATTCTCGATGGGGTGAAGATTAATGTCGAACGTAGTCACGGAAAACGAGGTGGTGGCCCCGGGCCTACTAGACGTAGAAATGAAGGGCGTTATCGCGATTATCCGCCGGAGAGGGGACCACGTGCACCACCACGTTATATGAATTCCGGCCCACCTCCCCCGCGAATGGGACGTTATGGTCCGGCTTGGGATGATGGGTATGGAGGGCCCTACGGACCACCACCACGTAACAGCTCTAGAGGTAATATATGCACTATGAATCTATAATCATTTAGGTTACGATTATCCCCCAAACGGTGCCAATGGAAGGTATCCGCCAATTGACCGTGGAGAACAACACAGACCACTCCCACGTGGTCCAGCCCGTGACCCACTGCCACTACCACCTAATGTGGGATATCGTGGGCCTCCAGTCCCTGAGCCTATACCATCGTCTCGAGATTATCCTCCAAAACCTCCTCCAATCAGACAAAGCTACGATGTGTACGGTGACTTTGACCGGTACCGGGAGCCAATAACGCCATCAGGTCCTCCACGTGCGAACGATTATTATGATACATACGGCAGCTATAGCAGCGGAAACTACGAGTAGGCTCCTTTCACAAACTAACCACTTCAGAGACTATAGAGATAACGATAGATCAATGTCTAATTACGATTCAGGATACGATTACAGTTACTATGACTATGGGATGGATAGCAGATCACCGGTTCCACCAAGATCAGGGTAGGCGGTTATAATTACTTAATAACAACTAATTATCAAGGTACAGCTACGGTCGCCCCTAATTAAAGTAAGTGGTTTATTATATGTTACTCAGGATGTATTACTCCAAGTGTTGAGAGTTTGTGCGTGCGTGGTCGTCTAAGTTGCTTAGTAAACGTGCTTCTCGTTTGCCCGCAGCCTAGATCTGTGCGTTGACATTACGTCCAATTTTTCGTTCTCCATAACTCAAGTTTACCTAACATTTCAGAGTCGTCCCGTGAAGTCAAACGCGAAGCAACCTCGAATCACGTAGGCAAGAGACGTTTGCATTTATTACTCGTTTCCTGTTCATCGTTCGCATCAACGTTATTTGGCTAGTGTCAGCAGTCGTACCCACGATCTTCTGGCTTTTGCGTTTTTAGACATCAATTCACTTTCAGTCGTAAATGTGACTTCTCGTTTTTATGCGTCATAAGAGACCGTCCAAATTTCCCATTTATCTTTTTTGAAATATAAATTGTGTTAGAAATCGTTGCTTTTGCGTTAGTTGTAGTATACCTCGTCTGGTCTCTACGCGTTGCTTCACGTTTAATACAACTTTTTATTTAGGCTAGCAAATCTCTTGTTGATTATAGGTAGTATGTGTCTATTTGTCGACGTCCGCAGCTGATTTCCAGAGATAACCTTCATGTAAGAACATCGTACTCTGTCAGAATGCCATATCGGTGTCTCGTGCTGGTTACTGCTCTTGCCACGCTTGTCAACAACAACTTGTGGGTTTTTAAAATACTTGCTTGAATAAACCGTCAAGACCCTTTATTTCTCATACGGCGTTTTCACACTGACATTCGACAATGACACTAGCCTTCACTGCGTGTCTAACAAAAATTTCATCCTACATTACATGGGGTGCTTTGTTCTACGAAGTCGTAAGGTTATTCCGTGCATATATGCAGGCTTTTTTACACAAACGGAGTCGGAACTATGTAGCGTCACAAGTATTCATCGGACTAGAGAGTTATTTTTTGTTCTAGTCGTAAAAATGAGTACCTTCAGGTGTGTTTAGAATCTTTTTTCGTTAGTAGATCCTTCATCACTTGATGAAAGTGTCAATTAATCAAACGTTTTTCTAAAGAGAATTCGATTTTCATGTTCAAGCTGTGGATCTGTCTTAACCGATCACTAGGTCTTGACGGGTGCCTCAAAAGTCCAACAACCATGTTATAGTCAAACGTTTAATTGAGCCCTCATAAGTTCCAGTTGGATATGTTAAGTAACACTACCTATATTAATGGGGAAACCTGTTGATCGTCTGTCTACTCCAACAACTGAATTCATGTATAGTTTGATGCCGTCCGAATCTTACATCGACTCAGGGTGTGTAATCGAGTCTATAAACACCCATGCATTTGTATCATATATTCCTCAGCCTACGTTTAAGTTCGATTCACAGCAAATCAGCTGGAAGATATTGATTATTCATCGCCTCATATTTGTTACAGTTTCTGATAATCTAAAGACATTTCGCAATAAAGTGGTTTATTAGCAACACTGAGGTTCTGTCCGGTATACGTCTAACATTCAAGTATGTATTACCGGGAAAGGACAGATTTTTTCCATTAATATTTCTGATTGTATGTGAGTCCGGAATAGTCTGGTGATGATGCTGAGCGACCATAAAATCGATTCTTAGCATCGGGTCTCAATTCTAAGGCGTCCAATTGTTCCACACTTTCCCAAGCTGGATAACTGTTGTTCATTTTACCACGTTGTATTAACGGATTATGAAGGACAATAGTTTTCGTCAGAATGATAAGACGCATTTCATCATCGATAGTTGTCGATTTCCTATATATTAAAGTTTCGAAATGATATTTCATTTATTGTATTAATTATTTATTTGGACTTCAAATAAACAAATTTATCCATAACTCCTTGTTTTCTGGACAAACTTAGTAAATGTATTATATTAGATACTGCAATCTGAAGGTGAAAAGATAGTCCATCACATCCCTAGTTTTTAGAATCATAAAGCGGCCGAGAATATAGGTCAAATAAAATTTATTACGATGGTAATGACGTTTCCTTTGTTCAGTTGATTTGTTACTGATGTCATCCTCATGTACTCCTAGGCGCGGTGGGGTTCTGTCGATCGAGTTGCTATGTGTCTGTTTAATGAAATTGGCATGGCGCTAACCGCTTGACATGCAAGTGTCTTGAAAAGTTTGGTGCAGTTTCGTGCAACCAATTTTAATTATCTAGTTTGTCGTATCGTTCTTTTCTGCAGTGATGCAGCATTTAAATTCTAAACTTAGATGAGTGTTTAGTAACAAACGTGCTAGAAAGTTCCGAGTTCTTTAGCTTTTGTTACGATTGTAGATTTGGGTGATCAAATTAGAAGTCATGGGTCACACCTTGTAAAGCCACTGATACATCAAATGATTTATTGATGTGATCCTTTTAAACACCCTTAAACAGCGGGATGCTCACTGTTCTTGTCACCTGTCAAACTGAAACTATTTGTGGAAGCACCATCATCTACTACAGTAGTGTGAGACCCAGTTTGATTTGTGTAAATAATCGAAATACTAAGAAGCACCAAGTTAAATCGAATGGTCCTATGGCGGCGAAATTGTAATGACTACATTTATCTCTTAGTTCAACGGAGAATGCATTCACATTCTCGTTTGTTCACCTCTAGCTTTCTCCCGGTTACATCAGCCTTGCGTTACATGTCTATATATTTGGATCTTTGAACAAAGCACAACTTCGTGTGTTCTACTAAACAACCGTTTCAGTATATCGCTTGCTCTACGATGACCCGATGATGGTGGAAGCATTATGCATCATTTTATGGCCCCTTGAGCCTTTACAATAATGTAACAAGATCAAAAGCCGTTGACCATCGTCTTCGACCTTAGATACCACATATAACTCGAGCTGTGATAAATTTCCTGTATTTGGCTCGTTGCCCATCAGAATTACTTAGTTCTACCTTTGGGAGCGCAAGACTCACACCTAGACATGTCAAGGTCACTTCCCTGTTCTTCGTTCGTGGATGGTTTAACAGATTTGGCTTTTCTGTGAACTTGATTCTAATGTCATGAGAACGACTTGTGGAACTTTGAACATACACCCGTCTTCTGTCGACACAACTGGAGGCAGAAGATACTTTATTACATATATTCTCTTTTAGCCATAACGACCCCAACTCTCTCTGAAGGCGCAACTTTTGCTTATCTTTCAAATCTCTAATAGTTGTTTTTCCTCAACTGCTTTTCTTTTAAATCTGCTAAGGTGACGCTAGAGATAATTTGGATGTGCTTACCTACTAATCTAGTAGTAGAGCTATGACATGAAGATGTATCAAAAGGAACTTGCCGTGTATCAGGAGGCGCATCTGACTGCATTTCTTCTTGGCCCAACACCAGGTGTTTGTTGATCTTATTGCGCTTGCCTGGCATTGCAGTGTTCGTTTGAGAACCATCTCATTCAGAATTGCATGCTAGGTAATCTAAAAATACATAAGCGATCGTTCGATGACACCTATTATCACACTAGTAGCCTGCGAATATCTATCTTTTTAGAGACTAAGTTTCACTTTCATCAGGACGAACATTGGCATAGTATACTAGCCCTTTTATTTAACGGACAGACAGCTCGCCTACTCCACACGTTGCCAGAAGCTAATCAAAATTCTAAATTGTGCTAAGATTTCCTCAGTCAACAATATCAAGTTGCATATCTCAATAGTTTAGTGAATAGACAAACCGGTATTTGTATATAGTATGCAAAATCAGTAACTGCGCCCGGAGGCCATCCGGGGGTTACTGCCGGTCCCAAGCCCGGATAAAGGAGGAGGGTTGGGTATGGGGTTAACGTCCCTATTCCATAGAGAACTAACTCGCTAAAAAAACGCTAACCGGAAAAATTATGCAAAATCAGTACACTAACTAATTTGACTATGAGATAAAGTTTGTCACTATTATATACTTGTTTCCTCGACACTTCCTAAATTTGTCAGCGTTTTTTAACAAAGGTCTTGATACGTCTTAAGTGTTTTGTTGTTACTTCAGTGAAATCGAAGACCACTTATTAACTAATGATTTTAGAAGACTTCCGGGTTTGGAGACATAATGTTCAAATGTTTACATGAATTCGCGTCGAAATAAACATAGTATAGCTATAGTATCCGAATTGTTTTTAAAGTCCTGACATTCGAATTTCTATACATTTCCAGTCCCACATCCGGAGATTTACGCCAGTGTGATGTTTAGACATAACCTTCTGGTTAGTCAGTGACGTTATGTAAAACTATCTTTGATATTTTAGAAGAGAATGAATCTTCTATCATAATGTTAGTTAAAGTTGCTACCAGTATACTTGATCATCATCGTTGCAATTCCATTCTATCGCATAACTTAATATTTTCTGGTTAAATTAAATGGTATTTTACCATACTCATATCATTTCGCGATATTTAGTGCATGAGTGTTAAGACGGTCGACATTATTGAGATGCTTTTCCTCCAAGGACCACTTGTTTTTTTGCATATACTTGCTCTTCCCACATAAATTACCTGACGAGGTGTTTCTAGTTACTGTGCATAAGTCTATTGACTTGAAACGATATATGGTCCTCAGATTAACAGTTTACTAATCTCAATCTGTCATATCCCCAAGTTGTCACCACAACGACATGAAATTATATAGATGCTGAAGTAGTACCAAAAATCCTAGGCATAGGTGGTGTTAGAGAAGGGTAAATCCGAGCGATTAATTTTCATGTGATTTAGACACAGGATCTGGAGGTCAACATGTAGTAACTCTGCTTTACTTTAACTGACTAGGCTGTGTTATTCATCGTTCCTAACCAATCAACTCACGGACCACGACCTACCAAATGGCTATGTCCAGCGGTGGATAATTTCCGTTGGAATCATACATCTACCTACGTTAGACGATCCCGCAATATCGTGGGTCAGTCGAAGTAAGACGCTTTCGCACACCAGACCCAATATCCTGAGTTAGATTCCTGGTCATAAATGGGTACTGCTGAAAAGTCCCATTCTTGGACGGACCAGTCGTTCAGTGTTTCTGGGTTTGGAATGTTTGTCTAAATTGGGTCAGTTTATGATCGCAATGTAAGTCGATGGTCTACTGACGGTAAATGATTTGATGGAGGAGCATCATGTGTTCACTTTGCCGCTCTTCGTTTCCTTTCAGCCAACACTGCGCGTCGAGAAATATGGTGACTGGATGCACGTAACACGACCGGGACAATGAAGATTCACAACTTATTTGTGTAGTATTCTACTCCCAACTTCAAAGTTAATTGGTTCACAAACGTTCTTATTTCGGTTGATACTGCCATTATCCTTTGATGTGGGATCTCATCTTACTTGTCTACTATTTGGTACTTGTAGAAATGTTTAAAGTGGTTTTCAGTAGTTTCAATATGGGTCGGGGAAAAAGGTGTTAAATTTATGTCGTTAGATTGTCTAATGCTCACAGTTACGGTTATAAG